TGTGTGTGTGTGTGTGTGTGTGTGTGTGTGTACGTACGTACACATAGGTTTCCTGTCCCAGACAATGGAATTAAATCTAGTGGGAGATATTAAGCTCACGCCCACACGACAAACTTCTTCCTGTTTTCACCTCAGGCGAGGTCGATCACGACGAGCTGCTCCACCACCCTGGTGTTTGGACACACACACACACACACACCCCTACCCCCCTCTTCCCCCCTATTGTCTCCCCTTGTGCACTGGTGTTTGGCACCGCCCCCCTCCCCCTCCCCTCCTCTCTCCCTTATTATGTCCCCTTGTGCACTAGTTTCGAGCCCCATATCGTCAACCCTTCACCCTCAGATAGTGAACATAGTTTGAATTGGCAGTCACCACCATCTTGGTGATTTCGAGATGCTTTCGAGACGCTTTCGAGACGATTAGAAGTTACGGGCTATTTATGCCCGTGCCACCTTTTGGGTGGCTTTATCAATCATCAATCGATTTCGGGGCTTAGCGTCACCGCGGCCCGGTCCTCGACCAGACCGATACATCCCGAGGAAGCAGCCTGTAGCAGCTGTCTAACTCTCGGGGACCTATTTACTGCTAGGTGAACATGTGCATTAGGGTGAGTGAAACTGCCCATTCGTTTCTGCCTCCACCGGGGATCGAATCCGGAATCTTAGGACTACGAATCCGAAGCGCTGTCCACTCAGCTGTCAGGCGCCCTTTGATGGTCCGGTCAAGTCCTATTTGACCATTATTGGTCAAATGTGTGTAATTTCTGACCTTTTTTGAAGCTAGGAGATCATCTCTTGACAGGCACCGCTCCTGTGCCAGATAAGTCCACTACGGGCTCACCATAGCCCGTGCTACTTGCCCCGCTCCTGTGCCAGGTAAGTCCACTACGGGCTCACCATAGCCCGTGCTACTTGCCCCTCTCCTGTGCCAGGTAAGTCCACTACGGGCTCACCATAGCCCGTGCTACTTGCCCCGCTCCTGTGCCAGGTAAGTCCACTACGGGCTCACCATAGCCCGTCCTACTTGCCCCGCTCCTGTGCCAGGTAAGTCCACTACGGGCTCACCATAGCCCGTGCTACTTGCCCCGCTCCTGTGCCAGGTAAGTCCACTACGGGCTCACCATAGCCCGTGCTACTTGGAACTTGTTCAGAGTAGCTGAATCTATAACATCATCTCTTGACAGCACTTGTTGCTGGGCGGTGTTGGCAGCGGGACGAGAGGTCGGTCAACTGTTAATTTCCCCCCCCCCCCCTCCCCCTTTGCTCCCGAACCTGTCAAGGTCACGTGCCGGCATGTTGTCTCGTGTCCGGGTTAGTGGAGGCTCAGCCGTCGTCCGCGACGCTGCGTCGATGTTCCTGTTACAGATTCAGCTACTGGGAACAAGTTCCAAGTAGCACGGGCTATGGTGAGCCCGTAGTGGACTTACCTGGCACAGGAGCGGGGCAAGTAGCACGGGCTATGGCGAGCCTGCTGCTACTGATTGATAAAGATTAAGCCACCCAAGAGGTGGCACGGGCATGAATAGCCCGTAATGCTGCTGCTGTTTCGCAGATGGAACAGCGGTTCGAGGTGCGTCTAAGTTTGCAATAGTTTGCCTTGCTGGTTGTCGACACTTTAATATTATGAACAAGTTTTTTCCAGTCCTGTCTACCCTACTGGCTAGCTAGCTGTCGGCCACTTAATACTGGGTCCAGATTCACGAAGCAGTTACGCAAGCACTTACGACCCTGTACATCTTTTCTCAATCTTTGGCGGCTTTGTTTACAATTATTAAACAGTTAATGAGCTCCGAAGCACCAGGAGGCTGTTTATAACAATAACAACAGTTGATTGGCAAGTTTTCATGTTTGTAAACTGTTTAATAAATGTAACCAAAGATTGAGGAATGATGTACAGGGGCTAATTCACGAAGCGGTTACGCAAGCACTTACGGACCTGGGACCAGATTCACGAAGCAGTTACGCAAGCACTTACGAACGTGTACGTCTTTCCTCAATCTTTGACGGCTTTGGTTACATTTATTAAACAGTTTGCAAGCATGAAAACTTGCCAATCAACTGTTATTGTTATAAACAGCCTCCTGGTGCTTCGGAGCTCATTAACTGTTTAATAATTGTAAACAAAGCCGCCAAAGATTGAGAAGATGGACAGGTTCGTAAGTGCTTGCGTACCTGCTTCGTGAATCTGGCTCCAGGTTCGTAAGTACTTTCGTAAATGCTTCGTGAATCTGGCTCCTGGGATATAAGTGCAGAAGGACGTATGATTGAATTGGATTCACTTCTGCAAGACAGACCGGACCAACTGGGTGGACCTGGGGGCCGCAACAGCCTGTTGGACCAAGCACTCTAAGGGGCTGACAGCTGAGTGGACAGCGCTTTGGATTCGTAGTCCTGAGATTCCGGATTCGAACCCCGATGAAGACGGAAAGAAATGGGCAGTTTCTTCCACCCTGATGCTCCTGTTCAAATAGCAGTAAATAGCTACATGGGAGTTAGACAGCTACTACGGGCTGCTTCCTGGGAGTGGAGGCTCTGATTGAGGACCGGGCCGCGGGGACGCAAAGCCCCGAAATCATCTTTAGATAACCTCACAAGTCAGGCCTGGCAGAGCTCAAGGAGAACCGCTCCTCCCAGAACTTTATCCAGATAGCATTGAAGATAAAATTATTAACTTTGCCACACGGAAATTGTCCCAACTGGTCAGCGTGTATGTCAAGGTGACATTAATAAAGATAAAGGTGATGGGTGGCCTTTACCTGTTAAGACTGTTACTCTGAACCAAACGTTTTAACTCTCTGTAACTCATCCCTCGTAACTCTGGGAAGTCTCATAGCAAATTTTTGCACTGTTTGTGTGTTTTCAGATGGGGCTCCAAGATGGTGCAGTATTCTCTTAAGATTGGCCTCACATAGGCGGTATACAGTGATTTAAAAGCCTCCTTATTAAAGTTTCTGAAGGATGTTCTAACTTCTGCCAGAGTACAGTATGCGGCTTTTATATCTGAGCCTCTGAAGTTAGGTTTGGTGTTACGACCACTCGTAGATCCTTTTCTCTAGTCGTTATAGGGAGGTAGTGTCCTTGCATCATGTATCGGTCTTTCGGTCACCTGGCTCCCGGTCCCATTTCAATCACCTTACATTTGCTGGTGTTGAACTCTATCGGCCACTTCTCGGACCAGCTCTGCAACTTGTTTAAGTCATCCTGGAGAATTTTACCATCCTCATCTGTCTCAATCCTCCTCATTAGTTTTGCATCGGCTGCAAACATTGACATACGTCTTGACTGCATAATTTTTTTTTTTCTTTACCACTCACGGGATAGGTATTGGGTACATAACAAAGAAAATAAATGTGCATGTGGGATCTATCTTTGAAAGTTGCCTAAGTAGCCCAGGGATACCTTATAGTCTGTGGGGAGGAAAGGATGTGGGGCATATGTATCAACTCCAGACAGAACACGAAACAATGGATATGAATTGGATAAGTTTAGATTTAGGAAAGACTTGGGTAAATACTGGTTCGGTAACAGGGTTGTTGATTTGTGGAACTAATTACCACGTAACGTGGTGGAGGTGGGGTCCCTTGATTGTTTCAAGCGCGGGTTGGACATGTATGAGTGGGATTGGGTGGTTATACCCTGTAAATAGGAGCTGCCTAGTATGGGCCAATAGGCCTTCTGCAGTTACCCATGTTCTTCACTAGAGGGTTCAGTTCCTGAACCGATTATGTGCCTCTGTAACCCTTTACACCACCGGCCACAAGATGGGTATGGGGTGCATAATAAAGAAATGAAATAAACAAAAAAACAACAGTATCACTTGACAGTTCGACTTGTATGAGAATCTGGATAAAAAAAAACTCATAAATGATATGGGGAATTTCTAGAGTGTGGAAGTGGATTCCACTTGCTGTTAACTTTTAGGCCCATGGATGTGTATCTGTGCCATAATGGACTTGATGTGTAAGAGACTAGTTTGTGATAATTACTGTACTTGGCTCCGCACACATCACCCCCTGATACTAAACTGCCCTTATCCTAATCTACCAGAGAACCCAAAACAGAAAACGGAACACCATGTCAATTTTGCGAATTGCTACCATTTTCTAGTTTGACGATGTTTGGGGCCTTAGAACGTCTCATTTTGACGTATTACTCTACCTATTAGGAGGTAGGACTATTACCCTATATACGACCTATTACTAACTCCGAAGACTCTGAACTACCACACATGCTTTAAATTTAAACATTTATTCAAATAACACAAGTCTTGAAGCTTACTTTCTCACGCAGCTAACAAAACATGTGTAAACATTAGTTTTTAAATGCTAAAAAACAAACAAAAGTAGAATGATAAGTTAGATAATTAATAATTGTGTTGGGACAGGAAGACAGTGTGTATTCATACACTTGAGGATTATATTGAGGTCCCAACTCAGTTCATACAAGTTAATCTGACTTTCAATAGGACTCGCTAGATGTCTTGAAGGTTATTAAGGCCACACCACTGGCTTAATAACAAACCAAGTATACTTTACTTTTCCTATAACTGTAGTCGGAACTAAACTTAGAATGTGAAAATCAATTTGAAGGAGAACGTGTATTCACATACGTATGCATCTTAGCCCTGAGAACCATGATATGCTAAAGATTAAATAACCTGGGATTCCCGGTTATGGCCACTGCTTTTTGCAGAGAAGCGGAGAGGTTTCTGATGGGGAAAAAGAGAGAATTGCACAGCGCGATCCACAGGCACAGTACTGGGTGGTATATAAATAACAGGGGGAAGAGGGGTTCTGCCCTCACTCATAATAGTATTTAGGATATCATGGTTTACGAGCATATCGTGGTATGTGGGGATATACGGGATGCCGATTTGATTCCCCATCCTACTCCAATGCTATTTCTCATTCGTGTTGTCATTTCCATTTCCTTCTGTAAACTAAAATGTGTACACACTGAAGATGGGTAGACTACTATTTAACGTATTGTGACCTCTTGCAGGTGGGTGCTGCCATTGATGAGGCTTGGTCACCAGAGACCCCTGGATGTACCAGACTTGTACAGCGTCCAAGATCAGGACGCCTCCAAGGCTCTAGGTGACAGAATTCAAAAGTAAGTATTGCTTCGAATATTTATTTTGTATTACTGTATTGATGTAATAATGAATAATATGAAATAATTAAGGGTCTGCCCGAAATGCTTTGCGTGTTAGTGGCTTTGCAAGAATGTAAAAACACCAATCCTGTGTAATCTCTCAAACCCATTGTACCTTCTTGAATATAAATAATTAAATGGAAATACATGTAGATGTTTAAATTTGGTTAGAGTGCAAAAATGAGATTATCATAAACAATTAACCTGCTATTTACTAAGTGAATAAATGTTTAAGTTATTATAGTGTGTTGAGATATTGGCAATACAATTAAGGTTTTGATAAGGTATTGTAAACAAACTTTATTGTAAAACATTATAAAAATATTTACCAGAGCCAATATCTCTAGTGGGTTCAACAAGGACAGGAAGCCAGTGGCTTGTCAGTTCCCTCCCCCTTCGATTTGTCCCTATGATTAAGAGAACGTGCTTCGTAAAGTGCCATTATTTTATCATTGTGTTTATATTTTTAATTCAGAAAGTGGGATGAAGAATTGGAGCGAAGCAGAGCTAAAGGGAAGAAAGCCAGCTACGTCAGGGCACTAGTTGGGTGCTTCGGGTGGGAGTACGCTCGCGTTGGTATTTATGCTGCCTTTGAGGAATGTGTTCTCAGGTACTGTATGCTCTCTTTGCTATAAAGGTGTTGATGAACAATTGCTAGTGAATTTGGCTCTATTCTGTTAAGTCTTTTGTACTTGAAACTCGACCTAGTAGTATAATTCAGATCTGGCCAGCCTTTTGAGGAATATATGACTGTGGTAAGTATGGGATATGATTTAGTAATGCATGTGAATAAAGGACTGTTCTAATAAGTGTTCGTGCCAGTTGGGAATCCTTTATTTTGGCAATAACCCTGAACAGTATTTAAATAGGCTCCAGTTCTTACATGCTATAATTTCTTGGCCATAATATAGTAGATTACATCCAGAATGTAAAGCTAATTTTGCTAATAAACAAGGCTAGGGAAATTTGTACTTTATTATTTCAGTGATTTTTTTTTTTCATGTTTGCTGGTATACTTTAGATATAATCTTTTGTTATGCAGTTTTGTCTGGCTATGGTTATAGAATATTTAAAGTGTCAAAATTTGATATTTGTAGCAATATATGCCAAACCTATTTTTCATGGCACAATTAGCAAGAAACTAGCAATTGCTTGTTACATGAATTTTTGTCTAGTGTACTAAAATATTGTACTGAGATGTACTTTTATAAGTCTGCTGTGGGATTGCAGTAGTACCTGCAGGGTACTGTTCTACTTGGTGAGCTACATCCAGTTTTCTCTAATGGGCTACAGGCGTTTGAGAAAACTAGTGAACTTGTATACTGTACATTAATTTGTGAAGAATGCTCTGTGCCGGTCTTGACTTGTTGGTTATTCACTAGTGAATTACACTTGCATTGCTGTATTGTACTAGACAGTGGCTGAAGATGTAACGAAACCACACGCCAGAAGATGAAGAACGACGATGTTTTGGTTCATACTGGAACATGACCATTATAAAGTAGTTTGTTCCAGAACGGACTGAAACATCGTCACTCTTAATCTTCTGGCGTGTGGTTTGGTTATCACTTCTAGGTGCATGTCCACACACATTTACAATGATTGATATGTTATTTTGATGGCAAAATGGATATACAGTATAGTACAGTAGGTTTTATTGTTTTTTGCATGGAACTTGATTTTAAATTGGGTATTAGGGGCCCAGTTCTGTAGCCCGTTATGTGCCTCTGTAATCATCCACCTTACCACCCACAGAATGGGTATGTGGTGCATAATGGCTACAGTACAGTATACTGTATTTAAATTTGGCTCTAATGATTAAAGCAAAAATTAATATTACAATTAAAATGTGACTGAGCTTTGTTATGGGTATAATTCTGTTCACACTTTGAATACCATTTAATTAACCATTTTAATTTTTTCTTAGTAACATCTTAAAAAATGGAGAAATAACATTGTGGTATTACACCACTCTCACTAGGAAGAATATCATGCTCCTTAAAGTTTGAGTTTTAAGCTTGCACTTGATAATGTAAGAAGTTGCCAAAATTAAATGGATTTCCCAATATCGGCATAAAGACACGTTGGCCGATGTGTATAATGAGAAGTTAACGGCACTCCAGTGCCTTGTTTTGCTGTGTAAGTATTACTGTTCATCGCATTAGATGAGGCAGAGTAAAGCTCCCCTTTTAGGAAATATGCAGAATAATTATTTTCTTGTATTGCTTCCTAAGCAATGTTTGTGAACCTGTAATGTTTTTAGTTTCTTGTATACTACTTCTCCCCCCCTCCCCCCTCCCTTCCTGGTGTCTCCCTGTAATATATTTGCTTGTCATTTCTGCCCTGCCTTCCCCCTTCCCCCCCCCCCTCCTCATCCTCCTCCCCCTCCTCATCCTCCTCCCCCTCCTCATCCTCCCCCCCCTCTTCATCCTCCCCCCCCTCTTCATCCTCCTCCCCCTCCTCATCCTCCTCATCCTCCTCCCTCCTCATCCTCCTCCCCCTCCTCATCCTCCTCCCCCTCCTCATCCTCCTCCCCCCCCCTCCTCATCCTCCTCCCCCCCTCCTCATCCTCCCCCCCCCTCCTCATCCTCCTCCCCCTCCTCCTCATCCTCCTCCCCCTCCTCATCCTCCCCCCCCTCCTCATCCTCCTCCCCCCCCCCTCTCCAAATATTTTGCTTATTCATCATGTCAATTTAATTTTCTTTTCTTCTTGCTTTTCTGATTCACCACTTCTATCTTTAACTCTTGCTCTCCTTTGAATAAATTTATCAGAATATTATTTTAACTTTTTCTGAATTTTCCTCTCGCTTGTTTACTTGTTAAATTTCATTTTTCCATTATATTCACTTCAATGTTTGCTTTTCCACTCATGTATTTTAATTTTTTCAGTTTTCAAATTTCCTACTGTCCTTATTAACTCGTTAAAATGAATTTTGTATCTATCATAACTTCTCTGATTAAATTATAAACCTATTATTTATAGTCCTCTTTTGAAATAATGACTAACTCCATATATTATGTACAGTATAGTAATACCAGTGAAGTATTACAATGTAAACTTGGCACGGTAAATACTTTACGTACAGTGTAATTATGACGACAGTGTAATTATGATGTTATTTATTGCTGTAATTTCGATTACGGTACTGGTATTGACGAGTCTCTTTTCTCTCTCCTTCTATTAGCCTTAAGGTGTGCAAGAAATACAAAGTTTAATTAAGGATTTTGAAGAATACAAACTCTAAAAATAAATTTTACCATGTACAATAATATCAAATATACTCCTTTATAAATGTCAGTGTTTCAAAAGATGTTATTTCCCTCTCACTACTTGCTCCTTCTCCTATCAGTTGCGCTCTCCATTATCCGACACCTCCCTTACTTGTGCACCTGCACCTCATCTTATAGCTTCCTGGTTTTTCTGTACAGCCCTTCCTTCTCCCACCCTCCCTCCCTCCCTCCCATCTTATCCTCTTTCCCACCCCTTCTCCTCCCACTCCCTCCCTTGTGTAAGAACAGCACACTATTCCAGGGTAGCCCAGCCCCTCTTGCTTGGTGGTTTGATCCGCTATTATGACAACCGCTCTGTCATGAGCCTCACCTCAGGGGTGGTGTACGCTGCAGGCATAGTTATTATCGCTGTGCTCCATATATTTGCCTACCATCCATTCAACTTCAAATGCCGCCGTATCAGCCTGCATGCGAAGACCGCATCGTGTACGCTCATTTTCAGAAAGGTAGGTCTTTTTATGTACAGCTAATGTAATGAAACAAATGCGACTATTGAAGCACACGAGAATAAATTATTTGTTGCAGTAGTAGAGTTGTTTACAACTACAATATTTTTCTAAATGTATGTTATTGTATGAACATTAGTTCAGTTGCTTGTAGTGTTTCTTTAGATAAATGCTTAAAATGCATCATTGTAGCTTGTAGTCAAGGCTGTCTCCAGTGTGGTCAAGGTGGGTTTCACTTGCATGCTGATGGTAAAGACACCAATAAAATCTCACAGGATGACCTTTTAAAACGGTATTTTTAACATAATTTTCATATTGACTAATTTGCTTTTGTCTTTATTTTCAAGGGTCAAGATGACAAATGGTTTTTATTTACGGAATTTTTGATACCATATATACAGTGTGTGTTATTTGCCTCCCATATACTCGTACTCCTTAGTATGTGACATTTTTATATTAGTCGTTCAATTTAACCTTTTAGAAAGTGGAATTGTTCCAGGCAGATGACTGACTGGTTTGGTGTTTGTATTAAGGCCCGTCATCCTCTGGAAAAGTTTACTGACGAACCAGTAGGTTTACTTTAGTCCTGGACTAAAGTAAACTTTATCCAAAAAATAGCATACACTTCTCTCTTTGAATAATATACAGTATATATCTTAGTCGGGCGACGCCCATGTGTGCAATTCTAAAAATATTTAAAATTATGAAATGTGTAGAAAAAATCATTTAAAAAAATTCCTTTTAATATGCCGTTTCATAATATTGATTTTTGCCATTTGAATTTGTTTTTTAAATAAATGCTACCCCATAATTTTCATAATGGATTAAAAAAAAAATAGTAAAATTCTCACTAATGTAATAAAAAAATTGAGCCATGATTCCCTTTGTTCAAAAATTCTTGAGTCTTCTGCATAATAACCTGCCCGAAACGCTGTGCGTACTAGTGGCTTTACAATAATGTAAACACATTATGCTATGTACTCTCATAACCCCATTGTAACTTGTGTATATATATATACTGTACTGTATATATAAATAAATAAAAATGATTTACCTTATTAGGTAATAGCAACCAGAGAAACGTCAAATAATGATTATAGATATTTTTTTTTTTAAAAACCTAATTCTCAAGCGTTTCTCTGACACATGTCAATGTGAGCAGTATTGACTTCTGTACACCTGTTATACAGGATGTCATTCGACGTAAGCAATTGTTTAATGATCAAGAAATTGGGTAGTAATTTACGTTATTGTGCTGTGTTCTTAAATTCAGAACCCTCTTAGTTTCTCATTAATCATGAGGAATGATAGTGTGCATGACCAGGGAATTATACATCATGTCTAGGGAATCAGTATTGTTAATAAAATAAAATACAAATTGCTTGCTTTTTGAGGTTTATATGGTGGTGTTTTCTGATGCCGTATTTTCCTGCGCCACTTTACTTCGGCATTTTATTCAACGAGAGTTTTGACAATGTGCAACATTCCACACCGAGTATGAATTCGTTGCATTGTTGCAAATGCAAATTATAATAACTTGAAAAATGTCAACTTATGTCATTTCTGGTTCGGTTTTCATTCTCCCTCATTAAAGTAGACATTGTGTCAATTTACTTAAAATAATGAATATGAACCATGGCTAGAAAAAAATTGTATGTAAAAGATTCAAATTTAATTTATTAGGAAATTTTTGTAATCGTATTGTGAAGATCCAGGCTTGATCATTAAAGGTGAGCATTTCTTGGTTTGATGGGTTGACATCTGGATATCTTGCTGCTGAATATGATGCACATGTAATAACTTTTCAGTGGCTAAGTGGCTTGCAGAATTAGAATCATTGTGCACATAAATACCAGTGTTAAAATACTGTCTGGTATTGTATATTTAAAGATTTAGTGTTTTACAAGGACTGTATGGCCTTTAATGATGGACCTGAATGGTGTTGCTCCTTTAAGACAAGACATGCTTGCATCATTCAGTACATATAGTTTTTCTTACTTTTTTCTGAACTAAAATAAAAAACTTAATATTATCTTAAATATTAAAGAAGTGGGTTATTTCTTGAATAGTACATTCTTTATTAACCAGCGGTTATGGTCCCATGCATAGTTTTCTTTCAAAAACTGGTAAAAATCTGCTCGCAAAATTTACTCCTTATAAACCAGGATACTTTGCTTTTCAGGATTGGTCAGCCGCTTTGCCTGGGTGGTCTGATCCGTTATTTCGGCGGGGAGGAAGGGTACACAGCACTGGATGGTTGGCTTTTCTCAACGGGCGTGGTGATGGGATCGGTGCTTTATATATTTTCACACCACCCTTTCTTCTTTGGCATACAACACAGTGGCATGCAGATACGGGTAGCAAGCTGTGCCATGATATACAGAAAGGTATTGGTGTAGGTGCTGTCCCCTCTTGCATCTTCTTGCATGCTTTCCTTTAATGCTTATCAACCTAACAAAAAAATGAGAGGTGAAGGTAGAAACGTTTTGAGTTTGCTTATTTTCATGGGGCTTACTGGTAGGCTTGTGTGAAGAACTGCTTGTGCAAACCCACCCACCTCCTAATCAGTGTGTTGTCTTTTAATAACAATTTATGCCCTTTAAAGATTTCTGCACTGTTTTGTATCACAATACAGGTATAATAAACTTTTAAAACTAACACTTTGACAGATGGTTTGCAATTTGGTTAAGTAACATCACTTGCAATGTTCAGGGTTATGTTATTTTATATATACCCTTTCCATTTGGGCTCGGCACGTGATGTACCGAGCTGCTCCTTGGCAGATATATACAGAATACCAAGATTGTACTTGCATTAATAATATGGTATTTACCATATTATAAATGTCAAATTCCTGTAAATATCTTGTGTAATTTAAATCACTAGTAAATCATACACAACTTAAAAATGTGTGGTTTTATCTTGATTGAAATTTAAAATTTGAAAGCTTATTTCTGAAACATTCATGAAAGATCTTTGCTCACATACCTTTAATGCATGTTATGATAAGATACCACTTTCTCCCTTCCTTTGTCACTATCTACGTTTATATTTGTCTAAACTGTACTAAACTGCTGTACAATTTCTTGTTAAAGATTCACTGCATGTTTGTGAAACTTCTTAAAACTAAAAGTGGTAATTTACATTACATGTTCGTATATTCAGGTAAATGTTAAACATATTTACACGAATGTGAAAGTCTTTTGGTAGATATAAATAGAAGCTTGTTTACATTACATGTTCGTATATTCAGGTAAATGTTAAACATATTTACACGAATGTGAAAGTCTTTTGGTAGATATAAATAGAAGCTTGTTTGTATATTTAATGTTATTTAATTCAATTCCCATAGGCCTTCTGCAGTTTCTTCAATTTTTAAGTTCTTTATTATGTTGGGGACTTTCTCAGTTGGGAAGAAAGTCTGACCTTTACTTCCTGGTCACACTAGCAACTAGTTTAATACATTGGAGGGCTGTTAAAATTTCACTGACCTGTCACATCAGTGCTGGCTACCTCAGTGTTACCTTTGTTCTAAGTCTTCATAGCACACCAAGACAACAAGAGGGAGGTAGAAAGATGCGATCCTCGGTGTGTTGAGCCTCTCGAGTTTGTCAGCGATGTAGTACCTCTAAAGATTGAGTTTCTAGTGTAGTAGTGTGCTTGTATACAGTACTGCGAGTTCCTGTGTGTAAATGGCTGTTGGAGAGAGAGTTGTCTGCATGTGTAGTATGACACGAAGGATAGGTGGATTGTTTCACCTTGGACTACCAAAAGTAATAGTGTGGTGCAACTAGATGGAAAATTAATAAATGCATGCACCCTAGAAAATTTTGTTTTATCCTTGTGCCTTAATTTTCTAAGCAGCATCCATATATTTGCACTCAATTTAGTAATGGTTGTGTGCTTAACATGCATGAAGTGTCAAAAAGCTTATAAAAATCAGATTGAATAAGAACACAAAATTCTAAGATACAGAAATGAAAACACCAAATTAGGAGTCACAATAACGTGGCTAAAGTATGTTGACCAGACCACACACTAGGTGAAGGGACGACGACGACTTGGTCCGTCCTGGACCATTCTCAAGTCGATTGTGTCACCTTCTAGTGTGTGGTCTGGTCAACACCAAATTAGGAATATCAGTTACCCCCATTTTCTCTTTAGAGTTGGGAACATTCACTCTAGAAAATGTGGAAATCACAAGGGAAAAGGAAACAGATTACAAAATTTATTAATCTATTTAATGATACATGCCACACACATTGTGGAGAACCAACACCACATCTCCAGATTTCTACAAATCCCCCATAATAAACATCCCATTGCTACACAAGACTTGGTGCAATACTGCTAAGCTCTCGTATTGTGCTCTACAACCTAGAACATTGATGCTCTCTTCCCAAGTGGTTCGCTAGCTTACCGTGTCTACACTCGTCTTCACCTTTGCATGCTATAGCTATGTAGGCTTGGTACTTTCATTTGATCTTTGTTTTGCATTATCTTCAGCTCCTCCTTGCCTTCATATTCACATTAAATGGATGGATACCATTATCCATTCATGCAATATGACCAAATGATTTAATACTATCAATCATGCAGTCTACCAAATTTTTCATTCCACAATTTTCCATAACCTCCATTTTTTTGTCTCTAGTTATGTACTATATTTCTGTATCTTAACCTTCCCCCCCATCCCCCTTTCTTCCACACACACACATTGCACATGCTTTTTGAATTGTCCATTTCTACTGCTCCAGTTCTTGTTTTCTGCATTCTACACCATGATCTCTCATTTGTATGTGGGAGTAAGTACTACTATGCATCACACTATCATATATGCAGCTAAAGCTGCATCTTCTGAAAATCTTATTTTATCAGGGCTTTGGCCACTTTCCTTCCTTGACTCACTCACAACTTGTCTGAATGAATTCCTCTTGGGCAGTCGTACATCCTAGGTGATGTTTAAACTGATCAATCACTTCTGCCACATCTGCATTTACACATTTTTCATACCCCCACACTTTCCTTCTCCTTTTTCTACCCCATGAATTTGAGAGGATAAAGGTGGGTGTTGTGACTGTGTGGTTTGGTCCAGAGCAATTGGTGACTTGTCGGGTTGGTTACACCTGAGGCTACATAAAGGACACCACTTCCCAACTTTTGTATTTTGTATCTGATTTAAATCATTTCCCACATACTCTAAACACCAAGTTTTGTGTGTGTGTGTGTGTACCAGAGACAAATTTATATATGCTAATAAAATCTTGTATCAATCAGGCATTACGTTTAAGTAAAGCAGCTTTGGGCAAAACTACAGTTGGTCAGATGGTCAACTTGTTGTCAAATGATGTTAACAGATTTGATACCAGCGTCATCTTCATACACTACCTTTGGATAGGTCCCCTACAGGTAAGCGCCATCATGATTACATAAATTATTTGTGAACAGTTGATTAGTGATGCTAAGGCTATATTTTTAGTAAAAGACCATCCAAGTGACATAATTTGCAGAGGAAACATCATTTGTCATTATTTTTTTGCTGCTACAGCTTGTATTTGACCCCCATTTTGTTGTTGCAGACGATGATAGTGTTGGGTATCCTTTGGAAGGAGCTTGGACCATCGTGCTTGGCGGGGATCATGCTCCTCATTCTCTTCGTGCCCCTCCAGAGTAAGCCAAGATTATATATGTAAATGTTAACTAGTTATGTCTTCCTTATCAGCATAATGTGTGTAATGCTGGGCTTGAAAAATATGAAGAATTCTATTAACGGCTAAACCCATACATTAGAGATGTGAAAAGGTGATTACATTCTGGTCCATCTTTTACTGTTGTAATGTCCAAACTGGTAAAAAAGAATGTAGATACTGTAGTGATAAACTGGAAAAGGAAGGGTGGATAATAAAAAAATGGGCATGTTAGTTTTGAGATCTTCAACTGTAACCACAGATGAATTGTGTGCCGTAAATTACCAAACATGATTTTTTCAAGGCAATTTAAACATTTTTTTATATACACTGCTTGTCCACCTGGCAGTTACCTGGTATTGATGGCAAGCATCATAAAATGCATAAAGATTCCAGTATTACTATTAATGTTCAAATTGGCAGATGGATTGATTGTCACCCATAAAAGTATTACTGTGTAAGAAAGCTTTGGTATCACAACCCCCCCCCCCCATAGGTTGTTCTTTCGTTAATCTGGGGATCAGTGAAGGGCAACCAGGTGATCTGTCTTCGCTACCTCATGCATGTCTTTCATTGAATACCTTTCCCATGTTTTCACTAACTTCACTTGTCCCCCTTTTGCAACTTTCATATTTGTTTACTTTCTGCTGTGCCCCTTGTACTTATTAATTACAATGCTCCATCTTTTTAAACAAGCATGTATGATACTTTGTTTTCTAACCTGTGAAGATATTTTGAAATATGTGGAAAGGTATTGCACATGATGCCCCATACTAGATTATCCAGCTTGTAATCCAAAGTTTGTTAATGATGGCGTTCTTAATGTTGTCGATGATAAATGTTGCAGGTTGGATGGGCAAGGTGTTCTCCAAGCTTCGGTTGGCTACTTCACATCGCACAGATGAGCGCGTTCGTATAATGAATGAGGTTATTAATGCCATGAGGGTGATAAAGATGTACACGTGGGAGAAGCCTTTTACAACTATCTTGGAACAAGCAAGGAAGTAAGCAATACTGACTTCAGTTTTCCTGCTTTAATGGACTAATTGAGCAAAATTTATTCTAATGTTGGTATAGTTAACATGACGCTATTTTGTTTCTTAAAGATCTCTCCTGTTGAATATTTAGAGAAAGTATTACTGTACATTAACTAATTTTTGGATTTTGTTTACATTTGTATGGATAATATATTTCCAAAAGGTAATAAAGTATATGTATGAGTTTTAGAATGGGGAAATTAAAGAAAGTTTTTCAGATCTGAAATTGATGTGATCATGAAGACCAACTACTACCGGGCAGTGAACATGTCTCTCTTCTTCACTTCGTCTAAAGTGATTGTGTTTTTGGCTCTCCTCACATATGTCCTGACGGGCAATGTTCTCACAGCAGAGAAGGTAAGAGCCAAATTGTCATAATCTAAATTTACTGCACATTTTTGTTGACCAGACCACACACTAGAAATTGAAGGGACGACAACGTTTCGGTCCGTCCTGGACCATTCTCAAGTCGATTGTGATGGGGAGGTAGGGACAGGCATTAAATAGGCAAGAGAGAGCTGAGGAGGAAAGTCAGGTGTAGGGGATAGTAGTAATGAGAACTGCAGCAGGCCTATTGGCCTATACGAGGCAGCTCCTATTATAACCACCGAAGGAGATAGTAATAGGAAAAAGAAGAGGATAGCAAGGGAGCGTAGGAGAAGACAATGAACAGAAAAAGGGAGAAAAGAGAAAGAAAGGGAAAGAGGAAGAAAGAAGTAAATGGAAGGGGGAAAGCTTATGTTAAGTCACGTTTGTTAGAAAGATTAGAGCATTTGAGTATATAATGTGAAAGGGAAGAGTCCACAGCAACAAAGCCAGGACTCAAGTTCATGTTGGGTACATTGTTAATAAGAGCCGATTCTACAAGACGGCGTCTGTGTAGAGTAGAGGCAGGAAAGATTATTTTTTTACTGCACATTAACTCAACAAAATTGCTCATTAATGTTATGAATTTGATTTATATTAATTTTCCATTATAAGGAGGGCTGGGTACCTTGAATATAAATTATTGTAATTTATAGTAGCTTTACAAAATAAAAATGGTGCTTCTTTAAATAAGAGGAATTCAAATGAGTTATACAAAAATATTTTGAAATGAGGGTTTCAACCCAACCATCAAATGCACACATTAACATTGTACTGTATATTATATTTTGCCCATGTGAGTAATGTTCCATTATTTGTGGTTGGGGAGACGAATGGGAATAGTGAAACATGGCAAATGGTTTGGAGAATGGAAGTTTTTGTCGAGCTGGTAGGGACCCAGTTCCTAATAGTACATTCCGGCAAGGTTCATTGCAAGTTGTTTCTTGGTTGCAGGTATTTGTGACTAGTTCTCTCATCAACAATGTCCGACTTGTGATGACACTCTTCTTTCCCTTTGGAATTGCTATGGGCTCGGAGACTCTGATATCCTGCAGGAGGTTACAGGTAAATGTAATTTTTTTTTTCTATAGATTGCAGTGGATATTTAAATTAAATTTGTTTTTACTTGTATGCATGTATAGTGGTTCTCACTACCCATCCAATTTGGAATGAAGGTCATACCTACCTGAAAAAATCCACAAGGGCCATGACAAGGGTTTGAACCTACGTCCGAGAGGATCCCAGACGCTGCCTTAATTACTTGTTCATTTGATGCATCATGCTATTGTGATTTGTGTGTCATACCTACCTGTTTACCTGTTGTTGTTTCTGGTAATCTATGTTCCTGTAACCCAGTTTATTTTGCATGTGCCTTTGTGCCTTCAGGAAATTTTCATTAAACAAAATGTTTACTAAATACTGTACTGTAAATTAAAATGTTTTATAGGTGCACTTTACACTGCTAAATATTGTAGAACAGTGTATTAAATACTGTGTTGGTATAAAGGTGTTTTCACACGTGATGTTAATTGAGGGAGGAGATTGAAGTTGAAACTTTTCAGTGGCCACTGTAATGAATATTGGTAAGTTTTACAAAACTGAAATAGAAATAGACTATATACTGTATTAGTCACCTTGGGGATTCTGATATTGTATGTACAGTATTAATATTTTAGAATTTATAAATTGCTAGAAATGGCTATATCTAATAAATTCTACTGTTCCACAACCTAGGAGTTCCTTGAGATGGAAGAAAGAGAAGATAAAAGTTGTGTGCAGAAAAGTAATCTCAGACCAAAACAGAAGGTAATGTAAAAATGTTGTTACTTGGGTTATATTGGGCTGAACGAGAGCAATAGAATTGCTTGATTTCAACCCAATATAACCCAGCCTTGTCTATGTACTATGTCATACTAGTGCAGATGAAATTTAAAGCAAGATGGCAGAGTTACAAAAATGTACATTTAAAGAAATGACAATAGCACAAGGCTAACAAATGTGATATGGATCGTGAGCTTCCCAAGTGGGTTCCAGATGATGGGAATGAGGGAAGGGCCATAAGGAAAAAGTTGTTGTTAATTACCATATATTTTTGAGGAAATATTAGATCTACACAACTACAAAAATAGGAATGGCAACAGTAGAGAACTAGACTATAGTGGTAGTGGTCATAAATATATAAAAATAAAATAAAATAAAATGGTTATTCAGGTAAGGTACATACATACATACAAGAGATTTTACATAAATTGCTCGATTTATAGATGGAGCTAGTACATAAAAGGCCTAAAGCCACTATTACACAAAGCGTAATAGTGGCTTTAGCCTCTGCAAATGCAAAAAGGCCCAAGGGAAGACTACACTAAAAGCTGTAAACATTGTGTGTTGTGGATAAGGTGACAACTGTACAAAAGGAATTTAGAGCCAAGCTTTTAATATTTTGAGCTTCTTATCAGATATGTTGGTTTAAAAAGGTCCCCCATGGTGGGAAAGAAATGTGAAGAGGAAAGCTTGTACACACAGCAAACCAACACTTCTTGAAGCAACACGGTCACTGAACCAACAATGAGAAGACCCACTATCAATGCTGGATCTATTTTTCACTTAAAAAAAATAGTGGATGCAGAAAAATTAGAATGAGGTACCACAGGGAGCCAGCGGCCACTGTGTTAGGATTTGAATATACATTTTTGAGCTGGAGGGGGCCAGACCAAGGAACAGGTGAAGAAAGGGCGAGTAAAAGTGTCAAGACTACCTACAGGAAGACCCACGGGAGAACAATCTGGATGGGAATATTTCAAATGACAGCATCTTTAAATTGAAAGAAAATAAGATAAAAGGATACTGATGTAAGTTGGGAATGCCAACTAGTCAAATTTGTGCTCTGGTTTGTTGCATGGTCAGTAGTTGGAATGTACAGTAGTAGACATGGCAGCCACCTCCATTCATAACTTGGAGCATGACACACAACTTGTCGTGAAATTTAAAAATTCACTAGGCACAAACGTGCCAAATTGTGCAACTGTAGAACCAAAAGGTAACTGTACAACTGATGTGCAAACCTTCTCGTCAGTACAGTATTTGCTCGAGGTACAGTTTTGTGTGGATGAAGACTTTGCTCGATGAAGGTATTTACGTGTTCTCGGTGTAAAGGCATAGAATTTAGATCGCACTAGCTCTTGTAAGACTAGTAGTTTAGCAAGATGGCAAGGCAAAGTCAATACATTTATAACTTTGAATTTTAAATAACTTAAATTTTTGTGCTTTACCATAATTAATAATTTATGCTGTATTATGCATTATAAACTTTAACACAATTTTATTTATTTTATTTCATGACAGGATTGTGGATTAACGGTGACAAGTTTGAAAGCCAAATGGAGTGAAGCAACAGAAGAGGATACCTTGAGTAATGTGTCGTGTTCGGTCAAATCTGGGGAGCTGCTTGCTATCATTGGACCAGTTGGAGCTGGAAAGGTGACTCGTCTGCACAACATTTAGAATACTCTTCCAAGTTGTAGGAAAAATTTAATAAAAGTTTGCATGATGCGCACATGCTGGAGTACATTGGCTGCTATATGCTTATACATGTCTTTATTTTCAGGGATCACTTCTTCAAGCAATTCTTGGAGAGTTGCCTATTAAAGCTGGGTCAATTTCCATCCGAGGAAGAGTGGCATATGCATCTCAAGAGCCGTGGGTGTTTTCGGGAACTGTGCGGCAAAATATTCTATTTGGCCAACCATATGATGTAAAAAGATACAATGAAGTAATTAAAGGTTAGTCTTGGCAGACTAAATTGCTTTAAGAACTCGTAAATAAGAATTTATTGCTAATATGAAATGTCTACCTGTGCAGCAGTCGCCTATTGGGTGTACTCTGGAGCGGCCATGGTGGGGGATAGAAAGCTGGTAGCTTCTTTTAGGTGATCTTTCACATACACTTTCTCACTCTTTACTTAGTGTTATTGTGGTGGGCTTCATACTATGCCTAGTCAGACGTATGTATTTTGATGCAGCCATCTTTAAATTCCCAGTGAGGTAGATCTGGGCAAGGGGTACAGAGGGGTGGGTGGGAAAGGAGAGGGGGCTGGCTTTTGTGTGTGTGGGGGGCGCCGGGGGAAGGGTTGTTGGAGGGTGGGTGGAGGAGGAAGGGAATTGGGAGAAAGTGCCAAGCCATTATGACTATATAGTACTTGGAAGAGTTGGATAAGGATTCGAGATGGGACAGATGGGGAGGAAGGGGGTGGAAGAGAAAAAGTGTTCAACCACTTTGACGGAATTGAACGCCAACCTGCATGAAGTGAGAACATCCCTCTTACCATCCAGCCCAAGTGGTTGGGCAGGGGAAGAAGGTATTTTAGATATAAATGAATACACCCATTCTCCTTCATTGTAACTCATGACTGCTTGTCTATCATCCAGTTTTCCTTATTTTTCCTAATTGAATCTGTGCATCATTCGTCTTTTGCTCAGCCTCCAATATACTTTGATGTAGCTAATTTTTATTCCTTCCCCCATTCCCACCTCTCCAATCCTCTTGCCTCACATTCTTTGTCCTCTTCGCCTACACAATTTTGCTTGTCTGGATTCCATATTTTATTAGTCTAGCAGTCTACGTTTTTTCCCCAGCTTCTGTTTTTGGCGCTGTTTATTTCCATTATTCCTCTTTCAACCAAGGTATCAGTGACCATATGTGATTGTTGAAGCTCATGCTTAAGTAGCTGGAATATTCGGAAAGGGAGATTGTGTTTAGGAAAATATGCCTAGATAGGAGTTTTCCCATTATAATGCTGTATCTTGGACACTAGATATAACACGAGTAAGCAAAGGTCTAAATTAAGTTTAAATTTGTTATATAATTGCAGTATGTGCATTAGAAGAGGACCTGGAACTGTTGCCTCATGGAGACATGACAGTAGTGGGGGAACGAGGAGCGTCTCTAAGTGGTGGGCAGAAAGCAAGGGTCAATCTCGCAAGGTGCGTCTCAAAATCGTCTCGATAATAAAAAAATTTTTAAGGGAATTAATTTATTTTTCCTGACCCATATCTTGGTTATTTGGCATTTAAAAATTATTAGTGACCGTCGACAATAATGAGGAAATGTTTGCTCGGGAGACCTGTCTCTCATGCAATAAGCCGAGAAACTAAATTGTCTGTGTGGCTACTGATTGTTATGCTTGAGGAGCTTATTTTTCCCATACTTGTTGTATCCTTACCTACAGGGCTGTTTATTATGATGCAGACATATACCTCCTGGATGACCCACTCAGTGCAGTGGACTCCCATGTTGGCCGCCACTTGTTTGACAAGTGTATCATGATGCACCTGAAGCACAAGGCCCGAGTGCTTGTGACGCATCAGTTGCAGTACCTCCAGCCAGCTTCACAGATTCTTGTTTTAAGAGGGGTAAGCCAACTAATTTGGTCAGCATTTGCACTCTGAACTGCAACAATTAGTTGTCTTTTATCTGCAAGAAAACATTGTCCTATAATTTTGAATTTGTATGACCAATTGTTTCTGGAATTACTGTAAGTACTGTACTGTATATTTACAGTTGATAAAGCCCATGTAGGTGGAGGAACAAGTGTAATAATGTTTATGATAATATTTAACCGTGAAAAGCATGCTACTAGATTGAAAACAGTAAAGACTGATGTGTGCATATATCTGTGCATCTACAGTACACTATTTACACAAGATTTCAACAAATGGTATCATTCCTAGGGTTGCACAGAAGCCATTGGAGGCTATCACCAGCTGCTCAATAGTGGCATAGACTTTGCCTCGCTATTGTCCGAAAGTCGAGAGGATGAGAGAACTGTAACACCATCACGAGAATCCAGCATAAGATGTTCAAAGAAAAATGGGGTCATCACAAATGGAGGTCTCGTTCAGGATGCAGATAAAAGTAAGTTATTTATTTTCGTTCGGGATGGAGATAAGTTATTTTCTCCATTAGGGTTTTAGTTTAGACTAAATTAAAAATGACCGACATGTATAGTAATTACAGGTACCAACTGATATTGTTAATAGGCATTTTCATAGGTTTTCTGCACAATAAGGAATTTAATTTTTTCTTATAAATTATTGTTAATTATTTATTGAAGGTGGCATTTAAAAAAAAATAAAAAATTTAAATTGTTCCAGTTGGGTCACCAATGTCATTGCAACAGAAGCGACGTCTTGATTCGGAGTCTAGTGTGACATCTTTCCATGATCATGTTGAAGTCGAGAATATCCTGACAATCTCTGGGGCAAATATTGCTGGATCATCTGTCTCTGTGAGTGACACTGGCCTGGCTATGTCTCATAATGCTAAAAAGGTGAGATTCTAATGAGGGATAGTATAATTAAAAATCATTATTTCTAAATTTTCAACCTTCATCGGGTGGAGAGGCACTAGACTAGTCATATTTATAGTGGAAGGTCATCAATATTGCAAAATTGCTCTTGCCCATCCATTATTATAAATATATAATGATTAAATAAATATAAATAGTGTGCATGATAAATTGTATTATGCACACTACACAACTTTACCTCTAAAATCCAGAGCTGTATTTTACCAAGGGATTGGGTCTCAATGATCTGAATTGCATGAAAATATATAATTTATTTATATGAAGTGGACTGTACTGAAGAGTTTCAACATGTAAATCATGCTTTCCTAGCATCACCGGAGTGAGAAGAGACTGAACAACACTGAAGCGGAGAAATCCCAACCACTGGTTCATTACCTGTTTATTTTTATGCTTATTTTAATGTGATGGTTTAGTTTTGTTTGCTTATTTTTTTGTTTCACTGTACTATACAGTACTCTACCTGAAATGCTTTATATATAATATTTAGAAAGCCATTTTTTGTGGGGATTGACAGATGTTAGTAAGTTGGATATATTTGTGGGTACTTGGCCCAGTACAGTGTAATCTCAAATATCAAAAATATCTGATTATGGACCACCTCTGAATTTCACAAATTGGCTATTTTTAAATAATTTTGCTTTGGGTTGTCAGAGATGAAAATTATAACGTGCAGATTGTGCATATTTATCACAATAAAGTAATATGTACATAAAATTTTGTAGTGAAAATTTATATATATTTTTGTAGGTTTATTGTAGAAGACTACACTCATCAGAGTAAAATGTCTGGTCTATATGTTGTTCGAGTCACTAAGCATTTTTCTCTGGCTGAGAGTGCTATTAACAACTCCTCAAATTGCCTCCTTGCTCTCAAATCATCACTTCGCAGTATTAAAATTTTTGTCCATTGAAATGCAGTAAAAAAAGTTCTTATCTGGTGTAGCTAAACTGCTTCTGCCAGCACAAGTCTCTTTTTCACAAAACTAAAATTTGAGAAGTTAGTTACTTCTATACTGTATACAATGAAAACTGTCATTTCCTTTTAACGAGATTGACTGCACTAGCACAGTAAACTGCACAGGACCAGTACAGGTTCACACAGTGACACCACTACACTGGCTTCACAAGTCACATTCTAACAAGTTTTTAATATTTTTTTTTAATTTTTGCCAAATTTTTCTGCTGACAAAATTCCTGTAGATTTGTATGGTTTTCGTTACTGTGTACAGAGTTGTGGATTTTTTAGGTTACACTGTATAAAGTTATTCATTGTTTGGCATAAATGTATTGATTACTTTTCTAGTTTTTCAGTGTTTTTATTCAGTTTATTTCTACACTATTTGCATTTCACTATATTACTGCTAATTTTTGTCATGGCATATCATCCTCCGTTGTGTTTGCAAGCATTTTCTAGTTGACTAAGTATTTATATATATATAAATATCCCATATATATATATATATATATAATAAAGAATAAAGGAAACTGCAGAATGTCTATTGCCTATTACTAGGCCGAACATGTTTATACTGTACCGAGAAAGTCATGTCCGACAATCTTAATAGTTAAGACACTCGCAAAGATGTGGCAGGAAAAGGAAAGGTGGGTCGACTGTGTGTTCCTTTAAGGTCAACAAGCATAGTCAACTATGACACAAAGGATCGGTCAGAGATGTCAGGCTGGAGGGATGTATCAGGTGGGGTCCCTCAATGTTCAGTCATGTGTTCTAACCTGAGGAAATGTGTCCAGAATTGTCAATGTTTGCAGACAATGCAAAGCTAATTAGGAAAGGGTTAATAATGGACTGTAGTATTGCAGCACGATCTTGACGAACACCCCAAGTTGACAGACCAATAGCTGTAGAGTTGCCCAATAAGTGGGTAATAAAGATGAGTAGAGGCAATTATCAGAAGAAAGCCATTACTGGAATTAGGAAGAGGGAAAAAAGACTTGGTGCTTGACTGTTTACTTATAGGCCAGAAGTGAATATAAACAGTACACGACACACACAATTTAGTGTGTGTGTGGTGTGTGTGGGGGGGTGCTAGTAGTGGTTGGTGCGGTTTATTACATTTACGCAAAAGTTTGCATTGTGGGATTGGTGCCCGTTTTCTTGTCCAGCATTACATAAATTAACTCTATGCTTACAAACAGAAATATTTATAAGGTTTGTAACTTAATCTTTAGCAAAATCTTCAGAAATAAAAGTACAGTACTTTATTTGATCATAGGCACAAAATTAATCTGATAGCATGTCTCACAAGAGTTCTTGTAAAATGTTAAATTTTTAAAGTAACAATGTGTTCAGAGCTGTTGATTGTAAGAGTGTAATACGTCACGATGTATGGGTAGAATGTCTTTTTATCTAAATGTTCGTAAAGGAATGGTCTAAACTGTAGTACAAAGAGAAAGTGGACAATTAGTGTTGTGTGAAGAGCATCGTCTTGCCATTAATAATAGTTAATGAAATGTAAATGAATACCCATTAACTCGTCAGAATGCTAAAGTACTAGTTTATATAATGTTTGCACATACCATTCGATTCTCTACCGCATTTAAGCTATTTACAACTGAATTTAGGAGAAAATGCTATAGCACATCTCTTCTGCAGTTTCCTTTGTTTTCCCCTAGACTTCCTGTAGCCTCAGTACCGTACTAGTCTTTGTCTGGTGTAAGTTACAATTTTTTATTTTGACCACAAAAGCTTCACCACAGCTCGTAATAGATGCATATCATTTATAGCATAATGTATAATAAACATCTTTGTTCTACAGTAATTTTGGCATTGTGTTTTATCTATCTAAAGTTAGAGTACATGTAATCAATTTAAGCAATTATTTTAGAATTACCAAGATTGGTTAAGAAGCATTTTGTAAAAGATTGTTATATAAATTGATCTATTTGATTTTAAAATGTATTCCTTGTTGCATCTGTCAGTATTTAAGCTTCAATAAAATTCTACTTCTCCAGCTGAACGACACCGATGATGGTGAAAAAGATGAACCAGAACAAGTGACAAACGCAGAATCGAGGTCACAAGGTTCCGTTAAGGGTGCTATTTACCTTGACTATTTTCTTGCTGGTGGTGGCTGGATTCTATTGATTATTCTCTCCATCTCCAATGTCCTAACCCAAGTGCTCTTTTCCGGAACCGATTATTGGTTGTCATACTGGTAAGTTCGTCGTAATTATTGCTTATCGTATGGGGCGAGTTTGTTCATTTAATAATTATAATGATGGCTCATGTTGTGAGCACAGTATTTATATTCCAAATTAAGTTATGCCTGTACCATGATGTTGCAACATCTTTAATAAATAAAAGCTTTTGGGTGCAACAAGACAAGATAGAAATGCAATATGACCATAGCTCTAATCAATGGACTAATACAGTACTTGATTTACCCGAGGCTACTAATCCTAGTGGACTTGACTAGGACAGGAAGCCAGTGGCTTGTCGAAGGTCCCATCCCCCACTTTTGTCTTTATCTTTTCTAGGTATATTATGAACCTTGACACAGTTTTGACAGTTATGGCTTCGGCGGGTAGGTGGTTCTATGGGTTAATAACCCTGTGAATGAAAAAGCATCTCCTGTTCTCAGACCTACATTGACTTTGTCCTTTCTGAATAATGGGTGGCAACCTGAGAAATAGAATTCCCCTTGTATTATGTCCTCTCTACTCCATGTTTCACTGATGCTGGTGATGTCGAGATTTTCAGCCTCGGCATATGCACAAGATTAAAGTCGATTTACTAGGCTTCTGGCATTTGTATAGAAAAAATTTAAACTGACATTATTCCTGGGTAGCTGAAAGATTGCTCCTGTATTTGGCACATTACTATTCTGTACATTTCCGCTTTTGTTCTAGACCCGTTTGTCATCCGAGATATACATTATAGATTTGGATTTGACTTTGAATGGTTTTAATTTCTCCCCTCCCCCCATCCCACACTCCTGACTGCAATTTGGATAACCAGTCCTCTCTTGATCCTTAGCTGTGCATTTTTTTGTATCGTTCTGTGTCACTACTTCAGTTCACTTATACATTAAGATACGTATAATAATAATAAGATAAGAATTGTTTATTGTAAGAATACTGTAATTGCAATAAACCTTGAAATTCTATTCACTTATTCAGGGCAAATGGTGAACAACTTCGTGCTCGTCTTGAACCTGATTTAAACGCCTCGGTGATTGTGAACGTATTTGGAAATGACACAAGCTTCTCGTACAGTGACCCTGTACCAGACGGTTATTTGGATACAGCTACAAATGTTTATGTATATACCGGTAAGGAATTCCAAAGTTTAGTTATATTAAAGTTTGTTAAGGCTGCACAGTTTAAATGGTTGCCTTTCCCTATCATGTATTCTCAGTAGGGAGAGATACCTTGTGTAATACAGAATTAAAGCATATTTCCATGCAGTATGTTGAGTGTGTCATCATAGTGATTCAAGCTTATGCACTTATGTATAATCAAAGAACTGAACTTCTTATTGATACTGGGTTGTTTCCTGGGAACCATTTGTAGTACTTTTAGTATGAAAAAAATATGCTGCAGTTAAATCTGAAACTCTTGCATTTCACCCAAGTTTATCATGTACGTGATCAGTAACACTTTGTATTGGGCATTGTTATTGGTTATTACATCTATCCTTGCCAACATCCAATCCACCCTTCTTCCCACACTCCACATCAAATCTACCCACCTGCCCCCAATTTAGGTCTGCTGCCGTGTCATTTTTAGTTATGGTACATAACCCTTTTGTGATAGGTTCTACACCGCAAGATGCAATAACACTTTAAACGGCAAAATGCATCTGCATTCCCATGGTTGATCACCGTGATCTCTCTACACATGAGAATAACCTCAAGGTAATGTATCTCCCTCCTTCCCCTTAAACTTGAACCATGTTGGACACCACCTCGCTCCTCATGCCCAGCATTGTAGTAATGGAAAGTACAAGAGTAATGAAGACAAATGTGGATGGAATAACAAATAATTTGGGAACTCCAGAAGTCGGTACATGATGTGCAGCTGTGCATAATAGGAATAACAGGAATTAAACTTGAAGGTGTCATTAGGGATGCAGTTGTGGGTTACAAAGTGATCAGGAAAGAGAAAACAAATTGGAGGGGAATAAATACTGATATTGAAAATGCATTGGAGATTTGAGGAAATGTGGGGCAGAGGACTACAGCATAGGAATGATAACAATAGAGGACAATAGTCATAATCACTCCCACAGCTAACAGAAGATGACCCAGTGAAGAGTTGATGAGAACAATGGCAGTAACGGTAGTCTGAGGGTCAGAGGGCAGAAATAGGATTGATGCAATGCACAGTACCCACCAATGCTAACCATTCACACCACCCTAACTGTTCATTCCAAATGTCTTCTCACACACACACACACACACACACACATAGTACTGTAGTATCCTTTTTGGTATCATTAGCGAGTTTCCTTAGTCTTCATAGAACAGCTCTTATCTTTTGGCATCATTCAGTACCAAATCTTTCACTTTATAATTTTTATTTATATTTTGTAGTTAAGGTGAGGATTTATGAAGCACAATGAATAATTCAGACTGTTTATGCTACAAAAGGCTGAGAAGGGGGGGTGGGAGGTGAGGACGTGGTGCATGTGAAAAATGTATAAGGTATGACTGAACAGGACTGAATTGAAGCCCCAATTTAGGAAGAAATGAATGAAGACCCTGGCTTGTGACAGCTGGTGTGGTATACCATAGGAATTGAGACCTAATCTGGGAAGGTTCAAAGATGGTTGTGGATACTTGACTACATACTGTGGAGTAGTGAAATCTTCCTGCAACAGTACACTTTTGAAGCACTTTGTATAATTGATTCAGAATGTTGTAGTAATGTGAATGGCTAACTGTCTTGGAACATTTTTCTTTTTCATACAAAAATGTATAATATAACTTGTCTTGTATAGTGCCTTAATTTCCTGGTCTATAAAAGGGGGAACTAGCTTATATTTCTCTGAAAACGAATACCTATACAATTAAAACTGTGATATTGAGGCATACTTTTTCTTGCAGGTTTGACTGTTGGCCTGTTTTTGCTGTCATTGGGTCGAACAATACTCTTCTTCGTCATGTGCATGACTTCATCCAGAACACTACACAACCGCATGTTCGAGTCTATTATTCGTGTTCCCATCAAGTTTTTTGACACGCATCCGATTGGTATGTAGCCAGCACTTTGCATTTTACTGTATTGTACTATATTTTCCTTTCCTTTATTATGCACCCCATACCCATCCCGTGGGCAGTGTACTATACTTGATAAAAATTGCATTGTTGTAATTCTTGCATTATTTATTTTGTATCTGAACTTAAATGGGGGAATTGGGAGGAGGGGAGGAGGAAAGGGCTAGATAGGAGAGAGTGGGGGAGGGATCAGCAGCAGCTTAATGGTACAAAAAGATACTATCTTTCCTCTCCCTTTCCGTAGTAGGTGACCAATAACCATTGTGTTCCTTCTCGTTTTTTTTTTTATCACTTCCTGTTTTCCTTTTGTCATGCAGATTACTGTTCTTGTTCACTCGTTATTCAATTATTAAATTTTTGGTACATTATTTGCATGTGGTTAAAAGCTAATCATGATTAGACTGGTCTTTACGCGCAACCCGTCAGTTTCCCGACCATCCAAGTGGTTGGGCACCATTCCTTCTCCCCGTCCCATTCCTAATCCGTATCCTGACCCCCCCTTCCCAGTTCTATATACCTGTAGTCGTAATGGCTTGGCACTTTCTCCTGATAATTCCCTCCCTCCCTCCCTTACCAAGTCATTTTATTTTGTCTTGGGATTTTCATTCTTGTAACCCCCCCCCCCACTCACATCTCTGTAACATGCAGTGTATTGGTGAGCACATCATGGTATAAAAGTTTCCATAGCAACACTGATGTGGCAGCCAGGCATCGATTTGGTATGATAGTCTTGTCAGGAGGCTAGGAGAGTTTTCCCCACTATATTTGTTATATACCCTTGTCACAAATGGGAAGGATATAAAGTTTTGTGATCCACCAATCTAAGGACAAGACTGTAATTGTCCTTGCTGGCCAGATTCATCAGTGTTTAACCTGGCTGACTGAAAGATGCATCCCCCTCCCTCTCCACCCAAAGTTGCTACACCACATTACTCTCCCATCACACTAACGTGATGCATCAAATGAACAAATCCACAAGGGCCGTGACGAGGATTCGATACTCCCGGACGCAGGTTCGATTCCTCGTCACTGCCCTTGTAGATTTGTTCTTGCTCTCCCATGTTTTGAACTTCTTGAATTTAGTGTTCACATAAAATGTTTTAAGTCAAGATGCATTGCCTTCTGTTTTTTCCAATAAATTTATAGATATGTAGTACCAGTATAGGTGAGCTGTATTGACTAAACTTGTAATGGGTCTCTGGCATTTTAAATGTGCAAGTTCAACAGCATGACTGTACTATTGAATTATATAGTTTTAAGATAAGCTGCATTATTAAGAACCAAGTGCATAGTTGTGATTTTTAGATGTACATATTTTTTCTAAGTAGATTGTCTGGAGACTTAAATTGTCTAGTGTTTTTTGCATATTTTGGATTCCACACTTGTACTTGCACAAATTGTAATGAGCCAGTTATGTTTGTCAATGCTGTATATCTTCACACATTGAGCATGGCAGCTGATCAGGTGCATAGTACTGTAAATGAAAATATGTTTGGTGGCCTCAAGGTATATTTGTAACATAGTTGTACATTTCCAGTTAATGCGTTGGGATTTCATGTAACGGAATGATATTGACGAAAGTAATGTGTGCGCGCATTTGCTCTGTAAATTTTGAAATTCAATAATACTCTTTCATGGTAGTAGCGTGGGTGGTGACAGATGAACGAACCTGTTAGTATAATGTTCAATGGTTTCTGTCCTACCATGCATTTCATTGTTCCTAGTTGAAGACTAATTGTAGGAAATTGACGTGCATATTATCATGTCGGATTTGATTTAAACACGTTTTACTGTCTGTTGCAGTATTTGGTTTAATGTTACCAAGTCACTAATATTTTTCATTTCTCCATTTTGCCATTTTTGTATATATATATAGTACCTTAGCACAGTAGTACTGTTCGTCTTTGATACAAAGTTTTTTATATCCTTAATTATTACTTTCCTCCCTCCCCTCACATTTAATTATTCTTAGTTCACTTCTTCCTCTCCACTTACTCCTGTCTAATTTCCTAATGCCATTTCCCATTTTCTATTTCATAATTTTTGCTTTCCATCTGCCCCCCATGCACTGAAGATATAAATAATACATTGTACATTGCATATAGTGAGCTAGTTAATCCATAAGTTCCTAAAGTTTTGGATTCCTGCCACTTTGTGCTCAATTATTCAGCACAAAAACAATTGGTTCTTATTTAAAAACAATATGATTTTGAAATTGAATGAAAATCTTACTGGTATACTTTCAGAATAGCAGAATGGAGTGAATTTTTTTGCAAATTCATAGGAACCGATTCAAATAATAATTATTTAGGGAAGAGTACATACATAAAGATGATGCTTATGAATCGTCCACTGTTAATGTAACGTCAGTACCATGCCAGGACACAAAGGGTTGCTAAGGTAATTAATTTTTGGACATTCATAAGTTTCTCGATGTCTTTACAGGACAAATACTAAACAGGTTCTCGAAAGACATGGGTCAAATTGATGAAGTGCTGCCTGGAACCATATTTGATTTCTGCTCCGTAAGAAAAATATTCTTTTTATGCTTGAATTAGCTCGGTGAAGGTTGGGCTGGCCCTCCATGTATAGTACAGTAGTAATGCTTTGGTGATATGAGGGGATATAGACCTGAGAGTTTGTGATAGTGGTCATGTTTACATGGTCCCTTTTTTTTATATATATATAATACTCTTTTAAAAACTAATTCTTGGGTTAGTAGGTGCTTGTAGATATTAAGCTGCTGTACTGGGAAGTATGGTGGTGGCTGTTAACCGATAAAATCTATTAATGGGTTGTACTATACTAACATAACAATTATTGCTTTATTTTTATATATCATAAATACATTGCCCAATGGCAATATTTATGTCCACCAATTTTTTTTTATTGGGGGTGTAAGGATTTTTTTTCTCATCTAATTTTGCGGAGACTTCTACATCTTCGTGAATGCATACCTGTCATAAAGTATGTGAAGTTGGAACGAAATTGGTCAACATTTAAATCGGCCGCAGGAGGCATAACTTTACTTAATTTTTTGGGTTGTGTTATTTACAGATTTCAAACTATTGTCTCTTTAGGTTGTTTTTGCTGAATGGGGACCAGATGTGGACTTTATCACTTATGTGATAAATCCTTATGTGAAGTATACTCGTATATCCCCTAACCCATTATTCTTATCCCTATATTTTGTTCTTTTGGGTTTTGTTTATTTCATTTCAAAACATATTGACCTACAACTTTCACATATTCCGAGTACAAATGCTAAGCCGTATTTATTAACACTTTGGGCAACAAAGGTGATCGAACCTTTTATGTGGTTATTGTAGTCAGATGCCTTTGGTTTGTTCAGTGACCTGTTGCAATGAGGATGTTCCGTCAGGTTTGCGTACTTGTTTCCTTCGTTCCACTTGTGTATCTGCATCCTCACCTGGGGTCAGATTCGCGAAGCAGTTATGCAAACACTTGCGAATCTGTACATCTTTTCTCAATCTTTCGTGGCTTTGTTTACAATTATTAAACAGTTAATGAGTTCCAAAGCACCAGCAGGCTATTTATAACAATAACAGCAGTTGATTAAGAAGTTTTCATGCTTATAAAATGTTTAAATGTAACCAAAGTCGTCAAAGATTGAGGAAAGATGTACACGTTCGTAAGTATTTGCGTAACTGCTTCATGAATGTGGCCCCTGCTGTTCCAGCCACCTCGCTCTATATCACTGTCACTTACGGCACTTTCAAGATCAGAAAATTCTTCAACTAAAGCCTGGAATTTTATTGGTGCGAATTTCACTTTGCTGTACTTTTGGTGAACACTACCAAAAACCCTCATACGTGTTTTTCATTGTTTTCGTCCTGGAATGGCTGTCATTGATCACTATCCATTGAGTAAATGTAATGCGTTTAGAAAGGCGGTAACAAATATAGCAGAAGAAAAATAGCTGGAATGGGGGCACATTTTGGACGCGAGGGGAAGCCGCAGCAATCACGAGCATAGATACACTAACACTGGGCCTACCGCATTGCAGGCGGTGCCTTGATGCCACATGGCCATCACAGAAAATGAAAAGACATTGGTGCACATTTTAAAACCCATCCCATAATGATCGGATCAATGGAATTTTAACTCGTTTTAATTTTGGATGCAACATGCGTTACCACCGGACAAAAGTGTTAAAACTTAAGATATGACATCCATTCGAACTACTATATTCATTGTCAAGAAGTTTCTCAGATTGAGAAATTGTGCACCTGGCTCCTTTAATAATACTGCATTAACAAATTCTTTATTTCCAATATAAAAATATTATAAAAAAAATCTTACCCTTTACAATTTCAGATGTCAGATTAACCGCCATTATTGTATGAACCCTTGATGATTCTTTATTCTGTTTAGTTTCTGCTGTGGATATTTTGTTTCGGTACATAACTGTTCCATATATTCTTCCTTTGTTTTGAAGTGAATTTCCTGAAAATTATTGACACAAGTTCAGTTAACTAATGATAATAAAAAGTGCAAAGCACAGCATTTAATGAAATGTCTGAATGAGCCCAGGTGGTTCCCTGAAGCATTGTTAATATGCCAAATTCCTAGGTGCCATCAGTTGCAGAGTTCTTTTTGGCTTACGGGAAACCATTAGCCAGATCCTGACCCTCTCAGAGGAGGCAAAGTTCCAAGGGGCTCAGAGGCACATGGAACAGTGTCACTGTGATAAAATTTGTGAGTTTTGATTATTTCTGCCACCACCCAAGAAGCGCCCAGAAAGTCAGCGAGACAAACCAGACCACTGCTGCGAGACAAGCGAGACCACCAACATACTCGATGTGGACCTATAACCAAATAAGGCAGACCCCCTCCTAGCACAAAAACAAAAGGAAAAAAAACCGCAAAAGTACGTCGCCAGAAGGAACAGCAACACAGCCTGCAGCATAGGTAAGCTAGCAATGCAGTACCTTGATATCCCAACTAGCTATGATACCACTACCTACCCAAGGCCAAACAAAGGCCACAAAACCCCTACTGGCCCCAAGGGTGAGGCAAATGCAGAGCAGCAAGAGCCCCTATGGAAGTGGTGTTCCAAAGGCTGCAGGGAAGGCAACCCTACAACCCAGGGATAGGGCTACCTTCTCTGAGCATCCTGTAAGTACCAAGTGCATGCAGTCCAGTACACTAAAGTACACCTGGTCAACGTGTCACAAAAACCGGGAAACACAACAGGTGTGCATAGGTCAGAGTTGACATCTGTCCCGTATCACATCAGCCTACGGACTGAGGGGTTGGCGTAGCCTGCACTAGGGTCCAGGGCTAACCCCTCCCGGGGAGTGGAGCGTTGCGTGGACAAATGGCGCGGATTATGACGTGTGCTTGTTAGTGGGTAGGTAGGGGGGAAGCTCTGTCTCTGTTCGGTCTTTGGTTGCAATTTTTTAAGAAGTGGGGCTTGTTTTGTTATGCCTACTTTTCTGGATGCCTAATCCCAGTCGATGGCAGATACAGAATGCCCCCCAACCATATGGGGGGTTTTCTAGAGCCATAGCATATCAGAGGTTAAAAAATTGACACGCACTTGAACAAGTGTATCGGTTTGCCTGTGCTAATTTATTGAAATCCCAACGTAAAATAAAACAAACTTTGACCAGAACACTAAAGAAAGAAATTTTAATGTAGGAGACTTCTTCCTAGGATATTTTCCTATCCTAAGCTCGCTCTACCTTCCAGAGTAAATTTTCAGGACCTTGCTGCATCAAAGAATGCAGGGAACAATAATACGTACCTCAGAAATTTAATGTACCCATTAATTTTTTTTTAGTAACAAACATTGGAAATTGCTTCTTGGGTATACATGTTTTACTGTGCTGTGTGGGAGCTGTAAAAAGTTTAATGAAGATTGACTAAAGCACTCCAACTAAATTTTTCCATCATTATTTTGGAGTATTGTTGCTGATAAGGTCCTGTCTTCTCAGGTCAGATCCTTAACAGATTCACAAAGGACCTCGGACAGATAGACGAAATGCTGCCTATTACAGTCTTTGATGTCGTCATTGTGAGTATTACAAAGATTGTGTGCTAGTCTTCCTCTCCATAAGATTGGACAAAATGCCCCACTTCTGAACATCTCCTGTGCCAGGTAAATACGATGGGCTCGCCATAGTGAGCTCACTGTGTTACTTGGAACTTTTTGTTCCAAGTAGCTGAATCTAAAACAACACACAAGCCCTGCTTCATCCTTGTGCAAGGTATGAGAAGTAGGAAAAAACATTTCTTGATTATATTATTAGAGAATCTGTAAAATTTATCTTGAAGTAAAGGGTAGTCTCTCCAATCACTTGTTAAAGACATGAGAGAAAGAGAGGCGAGTATTTCGTGTGCTGGAGCATTACTGCAGATAGTCAAATATGTAGGTAGTATATTAGTATATTGGGTACTTTAGATGGCAAGATACAGCCTAAGACAGCAGTTACATGCAAGAATGATGCTGCTGGTTGTATGGTCTGTGATGGCTTTTAAATTTTGTTTGTAGGAAAAAATGGACCCAATTTCCTTGTATGCTGCTTATGAAGTTTTATTCTTAATGTAAATATTTTATTAGTGAACATTTAAGAAAATAAAACATGGGGACTTTATAACAATGTCTTGGAAGACAAGTACTCGTGTCGAGTTTTTATCCTGGTGGTATATTTGGTCATTAATTCCAGCAATGAGAAAGGAAGTGTTCATTAGTTTCCTTTTAGTGCTTCTATTGTATATAAAATGTGTGTACTTTTGAAATTAAATATCTGTATTGCATCTTTCAACGTAATTGGACATCTGATGTGCATCATCGTATTGCAGTTTAGTTAAGAATGAATGGTAGAAAAATCACACCATATTGAATGTAATCTAGTATTTAACCAAACTAAATGTTAGTCTATAAAATTTAGTAATCTTGTCACAGAACGTGGTTGTGGATGTTATCGTAATAATGCATTTGAACCAAAGAACATTCAAGTATAACTGTAAACTCTAGTATTAAGACTAATACTGTACATGTATAATAAGCAATAAGATAATGATACATATGTGGGTAAATTACTTTAAGATTAAATATGAAAGACTGATTTGTTGACCAGACCACACACTAGAAGGTGAAGGGACGACGACGTTTCGGTCCGTCCTGGACCATTCTCAAGTCGATTGTGAGAATGTTTTAAAGTCTCACAATCGACTTGAGAATGGTCCAGGACAGACCGAAACGTCGTCGTCCCTTCACCTTCTCATGTGTGGTCTGGTCAACTTGCTTTAGCCACGTTATTGTGACTAATCGCCTGCATGAAAAACTGAAAATAGTTTCTATGTTTCAAAGCTGAGGAGATTGATGTGATCAATAATGGTGGGCCACTGAAACTGATTTCAGATATAAATGTCCATTTAGGAAGTACTATGATGAGGAAACCTTGGAACATGGTGAAATTGGGTGTATAGAAAGTGTGTAGAAGGATCTGTTGTGTAAATGGTGAACTAACAATAATTTTACACATTATTTTGAATTTTGTAGTGTATAATCAGATGTGGAGTGCATTGGTAGCCTTCACAAAACAAATTCCTTTCAGAACTGCTTGCATTTGATCTAGATTACCAATGTATCCAGTGTATGCTGGTTTTTAGCAAGAATTATTTTAAGAGTGCAGATGATACACATTTTAGCACATGCAGTATTTTGATATAAAAATTTTATTCCACAATTGATTTTAATGAGAAATAATTTTTTTTTTTTTTTTTTTAACTTCTCTGAAAGAGTGAATACTGTGTGCCAGTTTGTTACTCTGAAACTATTGTTATTTTTCATTGCAACCAATCTTGTACTGTATTAAAGTGAATCATTCCAATGTATTTGATATATTGGCTGGGTATTCATTTGAAAAGGTTTCCACGGTACTATTTATGGATTAATACAGAAACCAGTTCAATTTATTTTCCATTGTAAATATGCCGAATTTGTTTATCATTTATTGGATACAATGAATAAACTAGTCCTAATTTTTTTAAATTAAAAGAAATTGAACGAATGTGTTCTCGATAATGTTTCAAGTTTCTTTAAAGTGTAGGGTAAAGTGTAGGTAAAGTGTAGTCGCCCTGTCTTGAAATCTAGACGTTATTTATGGTCTCGTGATGAAATTCATGTAACTTGGATTACTTTCTTTATTTCTACCTTTCTGAACCTCCCTTTCTGTTACTAAATCTAAAATGGCAGAAATATTTACAAACATTTAAGTGCCTAAGAAAGCAAATGGCACCAAATTGCAACCACAACAACCTTTTATATATTTAATATATATATTTCCTTTATTCCATCCACTTTTAGTCCAGTTATAGTTACTCTTGCCCACTAGTTTAACCCCCCCCCCCTTCCTTTACCATACAAGTGTGCACATGTGTACACACAGGTCTGTGTGTTATTTGATGGCATTGTCTTGCCTGTGCCAGATTACATTTAGCGTGGGTGCTAATTTTATAGCCGCTTTCCAGCTTCACCTTGTGGTCTAAATAAAATAGCTTTACAAGATCTATTTCAAGACCAAAGTATTTGCCCAAACTTCAAAATCGCCCTGTTCTACAGTGGTCAACGTTGTCCTTGGTGTGCCCTATTTTTTATAAAGTATGTTTTGAAGTACAGTACTGCATATAGTACTGAATGTTGTCAGCATTTATCCTACAGTGTTTTGATATGTTCATCCCTTCCTACCTAGTCAGGAAAATGGCATTGTGGACAATCAAACAAGAAATTAACACTTTGGCGTTCTGGGCCCCTGAGCGCCCCACTACCCCAGATGGGTTTGGGCGTTCCGTGGGAGTGCGAGGGAGAGCGCAGTAAATTCTGAAGTGTGTAATCTTTTCAACTTTGTCAGCTCAATTCTCGTCCTAAGATATTCAATTTGGTATCAATGTGTTCGCAATAGAATTCTCTACAGTACTAAATGCATATAAACTCCAAAAGCCCGGTTACCATTCGCAACTAAGAGAAAGTGAGAGAGTGTTACCTGGGAGCGCACAAGTGATAAAATGTTTACACTTTTCAATTTTGTAAACTCGATTCTCGTCCTAGGTCTTTCAATTTTGGTATCGACGATTCGATGCCGAGTCGTCACCGGACTTGCTCTTTTCACGGACGACTCGTCATCGAGTCGTCGCCGAGCGAAAGTGTTAAATTCCATGTTTATTTAACACAAGTATTTAATATTCTTTTATATTTAGAAATTAATAGCATCCTTGTTGCTCACTGTTAAATGTGAAGATAATGCAAAAGTAATGTTGCTAATAATTTTAGTGTAGAAATCTTAGTGCTTACTAATGCTTCATAACTGCTTGCATGTGCTTGTAGTTTATAAATAAAGCTTTGAATGTAGCATGTGAGTAGTATTATACATAACAAGAACCCTGCCATGTGCATACTTCGGGATTGAAATAGATGTATAAAAATATTGCCTCTGAAGATTCTGTGATGGTATGTCACACAAGTCATAATTCAGAGCCTTGTCTTGGAAGGAAGACAAATAGACTATGCCTGTATTCACCTAGAAAGGTGAGTCACGCATGAGATAATACACAATTATCACTTGCACTAATTAGCCCTGTCAGTTTCTCTCGCAAATATATCATCCTTGCTGTTCAGTGTAGGGTTGGAACATTTCTGTATTTGAGAGAAGGCACTACTAATAGTAGTAGTAATTGAATACAGTAACTTAAAATAGAAAAACATAAGTGGGAACTGGTCATTCGTATGCAGTTAACAAAGTTCTGCAATGTAAGGGAATAGTGCAAAGCTAAGATTATATTATACTGTATAAAAGATTTGTTGGTTAATGTTTGGTACAACACAAAATGAGATTATACTACAAATAAATTGTACTAAATTTTGTATCGATTATTTGTTTATAGTATTTATACATACTGAACTACTGTATTTTCAGTTTATATTTAGATAAAAATGTACTTGCATGCAGATTCTGCTGAACTTCCTTGGTATCATTGTGGTGATAGCTTCTGTCAACATCTGGATCATCCTTCCCACAGTGGTACTTGGCATTATATTTGTATTCCTTCGCCGTTTCTACCTCAGCACTGCACGTGATGTGAAGCGTCTGGAAGGCATCAGTGAGTTTCAAAGCTGCGCTTTTCATTTAAATTTTCGTCATGCGGTTGGGGGGAAAATTAACCCGAAATCATTTTAACACTGCTGTTATAACAATAATAAATCTTGCTCTAATTGTAATTAAAAGAACAGTTTGCATAGATTAAAATTCCTTGTGGGGGAAGGGGGGGGATTTCTAAATTCGTCCATTTTGACTACCTCTCTACTTGTACCTCAACAGCCCGCAGTCCTGTGTTCTCACACCTGAGTGCTTCTCTACAAGGTCTTACAACCATCAGAGCATTCGAAGCCCAGCAGATATTTATGGACGACTTTGATAATCATCAGGTGAGATTACTGAGGTGGGCGAGGCGAGTCGGGAATCAGGCGAGGTGAGATAACTACAGTATCTGGACTCTCTTTATTTAAATAAAACTTCAACCACCACTGTGATAGCTAATATAGCAGCTTAAAGCAGTAGAGGCATAGATTTGGGTTAATAATTTTTTTAAATGAATCATCTCGTTAAAATGGATATAGTCGATTTAGACAGTTTTACATAAATTTGATTCATTTGTTCCTATTATGGAGAATTGTAATATGAATGTACATTTTAGGTTTTATTAATGAATAAATTAAAATAAGTGATGGTTTAGAATACTTTATTATGTAATAATGAGTGACAATTTTTTTTTTTTTTTTACCCGAGCACCACGAACACTAGTGGCCTCGACTGGAACAGGAAGCCAGCAGCTTGTAAAATGTCCCCCTCCCATTTGCCTTGATGATCTTTTCCAGTTGTATGTACTTTAAAGTTTAAAGTCTTGGCATTTACTGCTTTGGCGGGTAGGCAGTTTCATGGGTTTATAACCATGGGTGAAAAAGCATCTGGTATTCTCGGCAGGACCTACACTCCTCTGCCTGGTTCCTGTTCCTGTGCACTACAAGATGGTTTGGTATTTGTCTGGACTGGATTTCTGGAGTCTACATTGCTATAGTCACCTTCAGCTTCATGGGCATGTCAAGTGAGTAGTTTTGAGTGTTATGATAAAACATACCAATGGGGAAACTGGTGTGTAATCGAAGAGCAATAGCTTTAAGAAGGAAAATTTGAGATATTTGAGAGGAACTGTTGTAACAGAACGGCTGAAATGTGCTGCACAAGTTTCTGTAAATATATAAATTAAATTGTTTAAATGATTTGATGCTTGTAATGGGGTTGCCCCTCGCGGTCACCTGTCCCTTAATATAATTCTTGGTGACTCGGATACTTTTGATATCGTTCGCCTTATGCGTTTTTGTTCTCGTATTGGCATCCTTGGTGATATTTAGCGCCCTCTGATTATTTTGCGCATTTGATGGTGCTACATAGCCTTCCCGGTTTGGTGCCTTTTTTTGATAATTACTTACTTACTTGTAATGGGGTTTCTCTTTTATAGATGCTCTTGGAGGAGATATTGGCTTGGCGATCTCGTCAGCCATGATGCTCTCTGGGATGTTCCAGTGGGGAGTAAGACAATCAGCAGAAGTGGAGAACCAAATGACTTCAGTGGAACGTGTAATAGAGTACTCAAATCTGGAACCTGAAGCTTCTCTGGAAACTGAAAAAGGTTAGAGTATAAATGAAGTCTACCAGTCTTGTGGAGGTCATGAGGGTCAGTGTCTGTGGCCTAGTTTCTGAGCATGCCTTCTTATTTGTCACATCAGTTAGGTAATTGGTGCCTGAAGCTTAACAGTCCAGGTTAGGCACTGCTGCCTGGTTGGTCCAGGTACCCTTTGAATGAGTTTATTTATGTACAAGAAGATACATTCTGTTGTGAAAGTACATACATTGGTGATTGCATGATACATTCTTGCAAAGCCACTAACATGCTCAGCATTTTGGGAAGGTCCTCAAGCTAACCAATAAGTATAATAAGAGGTTTTTTCAACAGAAGGGCTGTGTGTTGTCTGAACACAATTTTTTATAGTTCTGATAACAGATATCAAAGGCTTTAACACAATAAGAGGTAGGATGTTAAAAAGCTTTGGACAATTTTGTGGAATTCTTAACGTACTTAGTATACCCGTACTTTCCAATGTGGCTGCTTTCTGCATTCTTCCATGCTTCCTGGCCTCATAGGGAATTCTTTCTACACAATTACTTTCTAGATGTAAATTGTCATGTCCTACCAACACTCCAGGGGCTACATTTTGTGGGGTTATAAAAATCCCAATTGAAGACTGTAGTGTTGCACAAGGCATATGTAGAATTATTCTGGTGACTTGTCAAGTTTTAAAATTTTTCATTTTATTCCTAAATTGCAGATAAGCTTCCACATCCTGGCTGGCCTGAACATGGCATCATTACCTTCGAAGACGTCTCTTTACAGTATAGTGACAATGAGCCTCCAGTACTTAAGAATCTAAACTTCTGCATCAGAGCAAATGAAAAGGTAGTACAATATTAATAAATTAATTAAATTAAATTAAATTAAAGTAATTAAAGTAGTAAATGGGTATTAGAGAGGCAAGTATTATGTGATGCATCCTGAAAAAGATCAGTCATTGGCCAAGGTAGTCCTCGGTAAACCTGACACTACTTGTTCCTAACAATGGGAAGCCATTGCTTGTATTAGGATGTCTTGGGCCTCGATAAATATAACTGGTCTTTTGCAGCATGATTTGTAAATATGGACTACTGTACTGTACCAGTTTTTTAACAGCAAAGTAATGCTCCGATTTTTTTCTCCCCCTAAAGTTGTAGAAATATTAATTCAAGAAGACTGGCAAATTGCTTAAAACAATCTATGAGGGAGGGAAGGAAGGAATTCAGGAAAAGTGCCAAGCCATTACGACTATAGTACTTGGAAGGGGTGAGGATAAGGATTTGGGATGGAATGGGTGGGAGGAATGGTGCCCAACCACTTGGATGGTCAGGGATTGAACACAATATGTGAAATGTATGAATATTTCTTATACATTTCAGATTGGGATAGTGGGCAGAACAGGTGCTGGCAAGTCATCCATGTTGACCTCGCTCTTCCGTCTGACTGAACCTACAGGCGTTATTCGTATTGACAGTATCTGTATACAGGAGCTTGGACTGCACGATGTTCGTGGTAATATCTCGATAATCCCCCAAGATCCTACCTTGTTTTCTGGTACCATGAGAACAAATTTGGATCCCTTCGACCAGTATCATGATGAACAGCTTTGGAAATCACTGGAAGAGGTATTTTTTATATTTATGACTGCTCATAAGTGAATAAACTGCATGATATGATTAGAGAATAAATGAGCAGCTATAACAGTAGGAATGTTATGGAAGTTTAAGAGCAACGTGTGAGAAGATAGTGTTAGAATGAAGGATAAATATAATTTTTAATGCCATTTCTAAATAGTTGAAGATAGAAAATATAGAATGTTTATAATGTAATAGATGTAAGTATTGCTAACATGAGTAATTGTTAAGGTTGTAGTATGTAGTAGTTCTTGTCCCCATTGTTGCATTTATTGTTAATTGGGTTTGACGACTCCTTTCAGTTCATTGACAATTCTCACAAATGTTTGTGTCAAACATTTGTAGTATAGTATTATAATGGTTAAGTTCTTGGCTTGCACATAAAAGTACACTTATTTCAATTGAGAATAAAAGATGAAAAGTCAAGATTCCATCAGAACAAGGATGTTAATGTAATGTATGTAAGGACCATGTTTGCTTCAAGTATACATGAAGGATATCTTGGTACCCAAGTTCTAAACTTGGCAAGATTTCCAGGATTATTAGCATTACAGGAAAGTATTAAGATGTGGTTGTGGCTCAAGTCAGATCATGGAACCTGATGATTCAGTGCTCTTAATGTCTAAGTTAGTAGACATGTTGGTATCCATAGTGTTACAAGGCATGGGGAGGCAGCCAGCTCAGACAAACCAGCCGCTGGACGATTTATTGACGAATTTAAAGAGTTTGCAGAGGCTGAGGGATACCTACCGCAACAAGTGTTTAATTGTGACGAAACAGGACTGTTTTGGAAAAGAATGCCTAAGAGGACATACATTACCAAGGAGGAAAAATCCTTGCCTGGACACAAGCCTATGAAAGATAGGTTTACGCTTGTGCTGTGTTCAAATGCGAGTGGCGATTTAAAAATTAAACCCTTGCTAGTGTATCATTCTGAAAATCCAAGGGTTTTCAAACAGTATAATGTGCAGAAAACCCGTTTGTCTGTGATGTGGAAGTCTAATAAAAAAGCATGGGTGACTAGGCTTATTTTTTCGGAGTGGGTGAATGAAGTGCTGTGCCCTGCCATAGAAAAATATCTGCAGGAGAAACAATTGCCACTCAGAGCCGTGCTTCTCCTTGACAATGCTCCTGCTCATCCTCCAGGCTTGGAAGATGATTTGATGCCTCAATGCAATAAATTCCTCACAGTTAAATTCCTTCCTCCTAACACCACTCCTCTAATTCAGCCTATGGACCAGAAAATCATAGCGAATTTTAAGAAACTGTATGAAAGGGCACTTTTCCGGAAATGTTTTGAAGTGACTGAAGCCACAAACCTCACCCTCAAAGAGTTCTGGAGAGAGCATTTTAACATTTTTAGTGCTTTAAAACTCGTTGACAAAGCCTGGCAAGAAGTGACTCAAAGAACCCTGATCTCTGGCTGGAGAAAATTGTGGCCTGAAGGTGTGAGAGAACTAGACTTTGAGGGGTTTGAGCCTATAAATGATGCGCCTATTGTTGAGGAAATTGTTAGTCTAGGCCAGAAAATGGGCTTGGAATTGGATGGTGATGATGTGGAGGAGTTGGTGGAAGAACACAACGAAGAACTGACCACCGAAGAACTCCTAGCCCTTCAACAGGAACAGGAAGCCAACACATTACCTGCCAGTTGTGGACTACACTAGCTTAGACTCGACAGCTCGCAGGAGGCATGGTGCCCCTCATTATATGAAGTGATTGGGTGCTGCTGTGAATATATTGGGGTATGATAACGATTCTAGTGATTTTTAGTGTGCAATGTGCAAGACATCTTTTTAGGTATCTAATCTTAATCTGTTTGTTGTTTGTATCTGATACCTTCTCTTCTCAAAGGTGGCGGCATGCTGGTTTGGGGTTATAATGGCGAATCTTGCCAATTATATCCTGTCCCTCGATAGTATCCTTGGTGAATCGGCTACCTTTGTATGTTCGCCTTGTGCGCTTTTGTTCTCGTATTGGCATCCTTAGTGATATTTAGCGCCTTTTGAATATCCCACACTTTTGACGGTCTTAAATAGCCTTCCTGGCTTGGTGCCTTCTTTTGATACAGGTGACAAAGTGTTAAATAAGTTTTTATATTTGATTTGAACTAGCATTTTAATTTTTGAGAAATACAAGTCTTCTTTTCAACTTTAATTGATGGAAAAACATTTACTTTGCACAGGTTCAGCTTAAGGATGCAATTTCCGACCTCGAGGGCGGTCTTGAAGCACAAATGGCGGAAGGTGGCACCAATCTCAGTGTTGGGCAGCGGCAGCTTGTGTGTCTGGCTCGGGCCATTCTCAGACACAATAGGGTTCTTGTTCTCGACGAAGCCACGGCAAATGTTGATCCAAGGTGCGTATATGGTAAAGTTTCCTCGGTCACTCTCCAGTGTACATTAACAATAGCGACTTAGGAGTAACAAATGAGATTTCCTAAGAATTCCTAAATCAGAATTTTATTTTTTTTTGTTCTTACAGATGTTCTGGCACAAAGTAAGCTTTGCAGAAAGTGTTCTAAAATTATGAATTATAAAACCCAACTTTAAGCATGTTAGGCATAAATTTGATGGTATACAATCAAAATCTGAAGAAAATGTGTTAATTAAGATAAAAATAGCATTCAGTATTTATGGAATAAGCCTATGAAAACTTGTCAGCAAAGCCAAAATATGAATATGAAAGTAAATAATAATACTGTAATAAAAATAATGTACACAAGGCCTCCTTGTGTACAAAACAATGAAAGCCTCTCTGTAGATGTCCAACATATTTTCTTTCACACAAAAACCTGCTTATTTATCAATCGTGCTGGGTACACTTACCAGTTTGTCAAGTAGCAGGGTCTGCCGTCGGGGCCCGAACAGTCATCGGTTGAACCCATTTGCATATTCTTCCTTTAAACTAAACAAAGCTGCCTAGAATTATAAGACAGTTTTGGCAAACAATGATAGACGTTTGGAACAAGTTAAATGAGAAGGTTGTGGCGGTCAAAACAGTCGGTTCAATATTAATTTGACTGCGTTAGATGCCAGTGCTGGAAAGACAAGACACCACAAGCACAGCTCTTGTCCTGTAGTTACACTTGGGTAATTACAAGGAAAATTTGCTCATGTGCCACTCTGGGCATGTGTGCCTAAGGTTTGCCACCCCCCCCCCCCCCTGATCTACACTGTATGTGTGATTGTTAATACTCTTCTTGTTTTCAGAACTGATGGATTAATTCAACAAACAATTAGGTCAAAGTTTAAGGACTGCACAGTACTCACCATTGCTCATCGCTTGCATACAATAATGGACAGTGATCGTGTAATGGTGCTTAAAGCTGGTAGCATTGTGGTGAGTCCCATTTCTTTTTAAATACTGTACAGTAGATCCTTTGGATTCAATCCATTATTTTTTACTTTGGGGTAGAAAGTGGGACGCTTTAAAGTCTACAGCGAGCGATTCTTAGTTTTATACTACTGTGATGTGCGCTGATGTCATTAATATAAAGAGATGATATGCATGTTCAGTCGCCTTCCTAGAGCCCCATGTGTTGTGCCCATCTGTGAATGTCCCTAAAAATATTATCGGAGCAATATATTTTTCCACTCCAATGTCTACAGAGATCTTTATTTCACCAACTATGATGGGTCTGCACCAAAGGAACCTAACAAGCAGCACACTTTAGTTATCAAAACATTTGCAAAAGCACTGAATGGAAAGTAACACCTTTTTTGTTTCCATATTGAAGCAAACTACATGTTTGGGGAAAACTTTTTGGTGCATATTGCATTATTATATTAGTGTCTATATCCTGAGTTTTTCTCTACCACAGACGTGGCCACACATTTACAATGCTAACCAGCATATATACATTTTCTTCTGTCCTCCATGGACAGGGTTAGAGATCCTGAGTGACAGATTCAAACAGATTCAATTCAGTGTTGAGATTTAGTAATTTGTTAAATATATATATACAGTATATACAAGCAATAAATTAAGTGGTGTCAGTTAAAGTTAGAAATAAATAAACCCCCAAAAAGGTGATGTATTACTGCTAATTAAAATGCTTGTAGTTATGTAACTTTCCTAATATAGTATTATTTCCTCAGGAATTTGAAGAGCCACACATCCTATTACAAAACGAGAGTTCTGCGTTGGCGACGTTGGTTCAGCAGACGGGTAAAGCTGGTGCGGAGCAGTTACATCAAATTGCAGCAAAGGCAAGTGCTCTCATTTTTTTTCCCCCTGTGCAGTAGATGTCTTAAGTCATGAAGTTATAGCTAGGTACCAAATCCCCGCCTTTTTTTTTTTTTTTTTTAAGGAGCTGCGTAAGCTTCAGGGAGCCTCCGGGGCTCGCCCAGAAAATGGAGTTACATTTGACGCTGGTTTTTTACGCAACTATTGCTACTTTCTTTTTTCCTCATGTTTGTTTTCACTTTCAACCTTGCACTAAATATCATCTTGCCGGTAACTTATTATCGAGGAGTATACAGGGAATAATTCAGGGATAGGTAGAAATACATGTTGAACTTTGAAATTGGGCCGACTCTAGCTTTAACATTCTTGTAGCAAAGAAAGTAGAGACGAGTATGTAGGTACTGTACACGAACTATGAAGCATCTTTGTTAGGACTGCTAGGCAGATTCCAACACTTTCATTTACCCCTAAACCTGTTGATATTCCTTTGATGGACCATGTCTTATCCTTGAAATGACTTTATAAACTAATGTAGCAATCATGACTATCTATCCGGTCAAGTCGTAATGACTTGGTGCTTTCTCCTGATGGTTCCCTTCCTCTATCCAGTCAAATCTTGTAGTTTTCATCATAACAATTAATACAACTTTCAAAATGTTTGAGATATTATTAAATAAATTACAGGATTAAGTTTTCTATTACACCTGCATCATAGTTCATTGAGCCTTTAGTATATTTTCTTAATGCAGTTAATTATCTATATTTGCTTGATATATAGTAATACAAAACTGTTTGAATTTCAGGCATATTTTGAACGACACAAGAATGACATGCCAGCCGATGTGAAACTTGAAGAGGATGATGTAGGTGGTCACACGTTATCACTTGATGACATTGATTTGAGAACTGATTACAGTGATGAAAATCGATCAAAAAATATGAAAAAAGACAGCTGAAAAAGGCTTTGACATTGGTTAAAATTGTGAACAGGAAAATAAGATTAATGATAAAACGGTAGTGTGAAGTTAGCAAAGTGCTGAACTGGAACTAAATGTCTTGTAGGGTACATTTTGTCGGCAACATACTACCCTACCTAAATGACTGGAATGTAAAGCATTCACTCTAGTGTGTATCATAGAGAGCTTCCATTTTATTTTGGTTTTAATCGATTAATCTTTAGATTTGGTTTTTATATCAAATTCATAAAGCTCTTGCAATGCCTTAATGTGCTTAATCCCAGTCAAGCATGACTGGCACAGTTCGTTAAATTACCTGAACAGTTTACCACTTATGGGTCGTACTACCTACAGGTATTGGGTTATGGCTGATCCTCGACTACTATTTACACACCAGGATTACGTCGTGATTTTTTTTTTATATATATACGTATATAAATAATTTTTGTCACTGTGAAAAGGGACCAATTATTTGTAGTTTGTGATGCATCTTGCCTGGTTTATTTACTACATATTATAATAAATATACAATCTAGGTGAAATGGAATTAAACACCTGAATTTGTATAGTTGAGCCAAAGGAGAAATGTGATAATTCATTGTCTACCGCTGCAAAAAGTTTGGCTCGGATATTGACGTGGAAAAACATGAAGTGCAGTGTACTGTAGTTCATTTGACGAAACAGTAACAAAGAATTTTAATTTAAATGATCATTAATAAATTTATTGTTTTTATAAACTTGTTTAATTTTCGTGGTAAAAGCTTTAAATTTTAACAAGAAAATAAAGGTAGATGTCCTACATTATTGCTTGCTGAATTTATAAATGTAATCTGTGTAGCATTTGCAGTAAGTAGTCCCCAAAAATGACAGTACAGTACTTGTATCTACTATGAATTGACTATACAAAAATATACTGTCGTAATAAAACAAAGGTTCATACTATTGGCCTGGTAAACAGTGGGACAGTAACTACAAGCTTAACCTGTCCTAGACCCAATATAAACCAACTTTTGCTATAATATGCCATTTTAGGCTTTTAATACTAACATGCTTTTAGGCCTTAAAAAAAGTTTGGGTTTTGTTGCAGTGTTCCTTAATTGAACCCTCTTTAAAATGAATTGTACTGTGTGGGGTGCAAAAGTCCATAGTTTGTATTTGGCTTCCTCTTGTCTGTCTCGGTGGGGAAGCCTGATGTTCCACTCTATTTTTTGGGTGGCTGGACTGGGGCATGAGAGCCTTTGACCCTGCATTAGAGAATGTCAAAAAGGGGAAGAATTGCTTGGGATAACACCCACTTTCTTGCACTGCCTCGTGCCGAGCCTCCCTCGCTGCCTAGGTGGTGGTATTCCACGGCTCTGGGGCCCGACCCCTCTAACTTGCTCAAGGATAAGGAACATACTAGTACTTGCTCTCAGACTTTGTGTGATGGACAACTAAACCCTCAAGTTGGATCAGCCTGGCTTCCCCTACCCTAGCCAGTTCAATGGCCGGGCAACACTTTCCCTGGCACTTAATTTTTCCCTCACTACTAGGAAAACATGCTGTCATAATTTCACTTAAATGCATACCATTTCCTAGTATATTCTTACATTCCACCATTTGTTTGATCTACCTACATGGGCAAAATTAATCAACTATTGCTGATTTTCACATGTATTATCATGTTCAGTCAGTTGATTTGAATGTTGGTGCTCAGCTCAACCAGTCTGGTGCAGTCATGATTCCCTTTGCTGATTTGTGGCTGACTGCCTAGTTACCCTCTTGCATTGGTAAGGTCCTAGTTTGTGTACCGAAGAATGTACATTTGAATGTCACTATCAGCAATGTCATTTTACCACCAAAATTTATAACAAGAAATGGGGGACCATGATTGCCACACACAATTCGGTCGCCCTAAAATTCCATTCCAGGAAATTGTCCTCCAGGTTAATACAAACACATGACCCTTGTGGCAGACATTCTAAATCCTTTCATGTTTAGATCACTTAAGTCTTACCCTCCCACTCTATTATTGCTATGCCAAATATACCTTGTAGAAATACATTCCCTCTGTGCCTTTGCAAGATGTGCTGGAACATGGAACTTCAACTTGTAGTATTGTGTTCTTTAATGTGGTGAATCGGGCCATAAGAAGCTTGATTGTTCTTCACTTGCTCACTGTATTAACTACAGTGAAGCCCTTCTTGTCCTTTTAGGTTATGTATGCAATATAAATTTGAACAGGCAGGCCATCCTCAACCTGTGAAAGACTATATATCCTATCCCCGAGGCAAGATGCCAAGTTAAATATCTTGGCTTGATCATTCTCTCGAGTGCAGGCAGGAGAGGTACATAAAAATTTATACATGGAAAATAGTAAAGGGGCTGGTCCCAAACCTGCACACAGAAATAACATCACATGAGACCAGAAGGCATGGCAGGATGTGCAGAATACCCCCGTTGAAGAACAGGTGCAACAGGTACTCTGAGAGAACTCTATCGACATCAGAGGCCTGAAACTGTTCAACACGCTTCCACTACACATAAGGGGCATAACTGGCTGACCCCTCAGTGTTCAAGAGAACTTGACAAACATCTCCAAAGGATACCTGATCAACCAGGCTGTGACTCGTACATCAAGCTGCAAGCAGCCACGTCCAGCAGCCTGGTTGACCAGTCCAGCAACGAGGAGGCCTGGTCAACAACCGGGCCACGGGGTCGCTGAGCCCCGGAATCACCAAGGTAGTCTCTTTGTCATTCAATTATTCTTGTATGGTACATCATGAACTTTCTTCTGCCATACCATCTATCCTAGATTCCAGAACATTTGAAAGTGATTACGCCTTCTAATGCCCCTCTGTACTCTGATGCTGGGAGTGTTTCTCCACCCTGTATGTGTTCTTACTTCCAAGCCTTTTGCTATTCACCCTACTAGTACAGCTTCTCTACCTCTTCACCCTTTTATAACAGATGCGAATCCCTCTTGCCCTCTGTTCCATTCTTCACCTTGGCTCTCGGTCCCATTTGATATCATTTGTAGTCTTTAAGACCTTTAGCACTTATGAATATCCTGCAATACTGACATTAAAAGAAGGCACCAAGCTTGGAAGACTAAGTATTTTTTTTAAATGTTCAAGCAATGACAAGGTAAATCTTTTGGATACATAGTCTCAAATGTTACAAAACTTTATTATTCAAACTGGAATAGGACACTTAACATTTTGTCTCAGAATAATTTTTTCAGTAAAGTAGAACTTGCCGAACTGTGTAAATTGCCTCGTTGTCAGAGCCAGCAACCAGAGTGGAGCCTTCTACATCAAGGGAGTTGATGGGTAGAGGTGAATGTGGGATCACATTTGTGGTGTCTATAGCTCCTCGAGCAACATCACTACTCAACCACACGGTAACACTTCCTCCTGTAAATATTGTACCATTTAGTTTTTTAATAACAGATCAACACTTAAAATCATTTAAGGGAACTTTGTCCATTTCCTATACCTGGTGACAAGGTAGCTAGCTCTATAATGATCTCTCCAGTATTACTAAAATGTCGCCATAACAGTTCTCACCTAACGGTTCTCGGGTACTTTTGAAGGGGACGTGTGTGGGTCTAGCAGAGGCAGAAGCATCCCAGTGCAGCAGCTGACCATCAAGCCCACAGGTAAACACATGCTCCGGTGCACCAGGATGGAAACATACTTCACTAACTGAAACAAGAGAAATCTAAGAAGTTGTCCAACTAAAATCATACACAATATTAAAATGTTTATCCATTACTTTTTCATGGTAGTCGAGAATTGTTTTCTGTAAGTTTGTAGCATAACCAGAGATTGCCTTAAGGCACCACTTTCACCACAGAGCTTTTTTTTTTTTTCTTTTTTAACGTGTAGTCCAACCTGTCCTACAAATTACGTAACTGCTATTTTGCACTACGCCCAAAAAGGCCATAATTTGAAAATTAAAAATTTAATTTTTTTTCAGAAATGGCAAGTTAAGGATCCTCGGGCAGGAAGTTCCAAGATGTCAACATGAAACTTTCAATTAATGGTTTTCGTGACCTCTCCTAACTTAATAGTCTAAGCCAGAAGACCCAAAATAGAAAACGGGACAGTACACTAATTTTGCGAGCCGATTTCATCTTGAATTGCGTAAATTTTTAGCCCGAGTGCGCATACGAGCAAAAAGCGACGTAATTTGTAAAAGGACACAAATGACAGGTTGTGTAACATTTACGTAACGGGTAAAGGATGTTGATGCTGGACGCTCGATGATGAAAGATAATTGCAACTAAATTTTTAAGAACATTAAATTTGTAAAATGAAGATATCGTAATAAATTTATTTTCATGACACTCATCCTCAAAAGCTCAGGGTGTGTTATTTGCTGGCCCTAATAAAAAATGAGTAAAGTGGGTGTGGGTTACCAGGAGGTAAGTACTAGTACAGGGGTATAATGATGTTTTGGGTAAGACATGGTCCAAATAAGGAACAAACCAAAGTGGGAATAACCAGTCATGCTAGTATGCTAAACATGCTAAAATCAAATGGTTTCACTTTACATTATGTCTCTAATATAGAAGAGATGTCTTGTTAAACTATCAGGACTAGTTTTTTGTAACTTCAGTATTTTGAATAATGCCATGTATACAAAATATTTCAAATGCAACATACAACCCTGCATTATTTAAGAAAATATTAGCTCAGCCTCCAGACACAAGTAATTGTATAAGAGCTGCCTTGTTAGAACTATTAGACCTGCAGTTTCCTTCAGACTCGGAACTTGACACACACACTGGCAAAGAATCATCTTGACTTTACTTGATGTCCAAAGGGTTTGGAAAGGATTGGGGAGGTGAAATTCTGGAAGAGGATGTGGGGTGTAGAGAGAGAGAGAGGTACTGTAATTCGAAAGTTTGGTAGCCTGTCATCAATCATCATAGATATTCATAAAGTAAGATCAATAAATAATGGTCAGAGGAACACACTTGGTCCATTGTGAGCAGATATTATGGTGAAGGGTTGGTTGATATTACGCATGTCCCATATAGCCAGAGCTCCGTCCTCCCCTCCTGCAGCCACCAGGTGTTGCTGTGTTGGGTGGCCAGCAAGGTCACACACGGCAATCTGTCAACAAATATTCACGGGTAATCATAAAACGTGTCGAGCCATTATGGCTACAGTGTGCAACAGATCTTTGATATTGTTCAGGATGCCAAGATGAGCAATACCAAAGTCTGTCCCCGTAGATTCTATCGAGGGACGTATGATGCAAAGGATTTGTGGAAGAGCAATATTTTGATCTTGAAATAACACATTCTACAAGAGGTGTGACTTTTCAGAAAAAAAGTGGGATTAGACATTTTGCCTTTTTGAGCAATACATCAAATACTTGAGACTTCCTTTGGAAAAAAATAGTTTTGTGCACATTTGGATAACTTATTGCATGTAAATCAAATTATTGAATATATGAATAGTATATACATTACAATATATAAACCACATACAAGTGGCTATAAATATTATAATTAGTTTTTACTTTTTGTTTTGGTAGCTCTGGCTGATCATTGTTGCACAGTAACAACAAGTGAGCAATTATCGAAAGAAGGCAACATGCTTGGAAGATATTTTATGACTTTTCATGACACTACATTAACATGAATATCCTAATCTATGTATAAAAAGCTGATTGTTATCATTAAACAACTATTTATTTAGATAACCCCACTGTTTAGTGTAACCTTTTCTCTTGATATCTGCATACCTTTGCTTCCAAATTAAAATCTAGCCAATCACAAATTTGATGCACAAAATCCAAAACTGCCAGAATCTCTCCTCTAGGTTCATTTTGTGTGAAACAATTTTACGCAATTGAGAAATTGTATCTAGCTTCACGTAAGTCATCTTGTGCTGAAGGACAGCCATAAGTGCTAAGGTATCTTGCAATTGAGTCCTTGCTTAGGCAAACATTCTTTTACCCAAGATAACTGCTGTGAAACTGTCCCTCATATCATGGCCATGGATTGCACACCAGTGTCTATACGCAATGACGTGGCAGAAAAAAGTTAAAATAAAAAGTTGTATATCTGAGATATTGATACTGTTGTATATCTGTAGATACTGTTGTATATCTGTAGATACTGTTGTATATCTGTAGATACTGTTGTATATCTGTAGGGGAGCCGGGCGGCCGAGCGGACAGCACGCTGGACTTGTGATCCTGTGGGCCTGGGTTCGATCCCAGGCGCCGGCGAGAAACAATGGGCAGAGTTTCTTTCACCCTATGCCCTTGTTACCTAGCAGTAAAATAGGTACCTGGGTGTTAGTCAGCTGTCACGGGCTGCTTCCTGGGGGGTGGAGGCCTGGTCGAGGACCGGGCCGCGGGGACACTAAAGCCCCGAAATCATCTCAAGATAACCTCAAGATAGATCTGGTATGGCACTAATATTGCTCAAGAGATCTGCACTGGCACGTTCCTTAAATACACTGATCATGCCATTTAAAATTTAAGTAATAATTTACAAAATCATCTCGTTGATATGAACCTGGTCCGGACTGAGAAGAGTGGCCTTGGCTGGTTGAGATGCTCGAAGGTCCCACAACTTGAGGTGCCCTTGCATATTAGCCGTTACAACCTCGCTAGCTCTCACGTACACCACAGCATACACACTGCATCCACCCACACTTTCTAGAAATCAAAAGAAATAAAGGTAAAAGATTATAATGTGTAATAGGTTCCCGTTAGTTCATTTGGCAGAAAACTGAAAGAGAAGCTATTCAAGAATGGGGTCAGGTATAAATGGAGCACGAGTGGACACACAACCGCTCATTGTTATATCAACTGTAGCACTAGAGCTGCCATACTACCACACTCAAAGCACTTCGTTAAAACAGTTCTTAATATTAACAATACTGCGCAAACTTATTAAAAGCAGTTCTTAATATTAACAGTACTGTGCAAGCTTATTAAAACATTACAACAGAAGTCAAATAAACCTGCCCATCTTTACCTATAGTCAGAACTCTTTATTCATGTAGTCCATTACTCACAAAAGTCTTAATACATAACATAACCAAATGTATACATGCCCCGGGTGTCCTACCTGCATGTTGTTGTTGTTTTCCTTGTGGTTTAAACACTTTATGAATTATATTCTAGTATTAGGGCACCGTCCAAATGTTCTCCATCAGTTGCAAGTGTACAAATTTACTTTATAGAGCATAACTGTGACTGGGAAATACAAATTTCTCTCCCCTACATCACTGATAAATGAATAATCAACTTTCTTCAGTATCCGCATTATCCCACATGGTTACCCACTAAAGTATGATTCCAGTGTGTATGGGAGAGTAGATTATGCAGTCTTCATATACTGTACATTCAAAGCCCATTATTTGTAAAGGGGCTGCGCATGCAAGTTGCCACCAGATTCTTGATTTCAACAAATGCTTAAATTATCACATCATCTTGCTTATTCTAATAACTAATATTTAATAATGCCGCTTGAAAATAAGAAACTGTGATGGAGAGGGAAATGAATAAGGAGAGAGTCAGCTTGTTAATGAAAGAATAGTAGTATGGGGGCAATAAATTACTTTTTGTGGCACAGAACAAGGTGTTTGCATGTGAAATTCACAGTTTGTAAGGGTTAAGATGGCTTCTGTTAAGCTGTGGTGACTGCATATACACTGTATGGCAACAGAAGGGATAATTAAAGTTTTCTGTGGAGGTTGGAGAGAGAGAGAGAATATGATACCAATATGTAGTGATCATTATTATGGGTGATATGAATAGTAGTGAAGGACAGGCCCTGGAGCATAATGTGACAGATGCACATGCTGTGCCAAGTATTTCATACATTTTAAATTTATGAATATACATAAATATACTTGGCATGTCAAAGATGAAAGGGTAGATAAAGATCAAGTTCTTACTGTTGCAGAAACAATAATAATAGTTTTCCATATCTCATCTGAAAAAAACACTACAGTATTGTACAAGTATTGACATTTAAACATTTCATGGCATGATTCAAGTGTCAATAGCACATTACCTATGTTTCTGATAGGATTTTTCTGATTTGGATTAATGATGACAAGTTTTCCGTCTTCACCAACCGAAGCGATTTGATCTCCATTGGTGGCCAGGGCGGTGCATGGAGCAGGACCTGCCAAGAAATGGTAAATTTACAGTGCATTTGTAGTATAAAGCATTAACCCTTGGATTCCTTCCATTGTCGTGTATTTATTTCCTAGGTGACTACAGACATCACTACATAACAATTTTACATTTTGTGCCATTATTTCAATACTGGTGGTGCCTATATGGCTCCCACAGCTCAGTGGTATCACCTAGCAGTCATGAAGTCAGCGTACTTCAACTTCTGATCCACCATCATACAATAATGATGGTAGTTGCCCAAGCAAAACTAGACTGTACGGCATAAGACTTGCGTGGTATATTTAACACTTTTGTATAAAAATTTATAATTCCATATTTATATTGTTAGGTTTTGCTTTGGCCTATATGGAGAGAGATGAAGAGATCTGCATGTCTCGGGGCAAAAAAAGATTCCATTACGAAAATAAATTTAAAAAGGTTGGTGTTCCAAGCAACAACTTAAAAGAAAATGATTTATTTGCATAAATAACAATTACTTTTATGATTCATTAATTGATTCATCAGCTCAGAAAAGCTGCAATGTCCAGAAGACAAAACAATAAGGAACAAAGCCATACTAAAGTCAGAGTCATTACTCTAACAAAGTGGTACAGTATTATAAGGTTAAACATGCTGGCAATTTACTCACAAACATAATAACTGAGAAATTGTTATTTAACAACCTCGAGCTAGCAGCAAATAACCTATAATGTATGGCTTTTTGTTTTAATTTTAATGTCAACTGAATTTTTAGCAATTGCCATTTTTTATAAGCATGTTGTTATATACAGGAGAGAATGTTAGTGTAATGTAGTACAGTATTGTACTGTACTACATGTAATGTAAAGTACAGAAAAGCATAGCTCTCCTGTACTTTAGCAAGCATAGCTTGGTTCCACCCGTGAATCTCACAACCTCAACAGAGAGTTGTATCTTGTCGGAGGCGGCATGATTACGAGTTGTGTTCTCATGTGCCCACATCCACTGTGAGGTTAAGCTCGGACTTCATTTTAGGCAAATGATAATTGTATCCATGTTGTATATGTTCCATTTCATGCATTATAAATATACATAATGCACACATCTAAATGGTTTGTTTGAATCCCTCAATTACAAATAGTTGTGGTGTTAACTGAAACACTCTTATATGCAAATAAGTGCAATTTTACTTAAAAAGTGTTCCTAACTAAATTATTACACAACTGTAACTCTTTCCCCTAAAGCAATTAATTAAAAACACTTTTCCGTTGATATAGTCAAATAAAACAAATTATAAACACTGAACTTAATTTTGTGCCAGAAGATAATCACATTATAAATTCTGATACACAAATGACTTTACACTTCCAAAATAACAAACTCAAAAGTAACACATGACAGCTTTGACCAACTGAAGACGGCATGATGCTACAAGTAACTCAAACTGAAACACGCCATCTTCCCCCAAATTTTTAATAACCGACATATTTCTCTAAATTCATAACAATAGAATTACTGTACTGTACAGTATATTAATATGTACTGTAGTAGTAGTAGGCATCCATCAGTCTCGGGAGACTATGGAGTTGCGCTCTGGTTGTCGGTCTGGAGTGTGTTCACCTGGAATCAGGTGTTACCTAGCAGTAAAATAGGCACCTGGGTGTTAGTCAGCTGTCACGGGCTGCTTCCTGGGGGTGGAGGCCTGGTCGAGGACTGGGCCGCGGGGACACTAAAGCCCCGAAATCATCTCAAGATGACCTGGGGTGAGGCCACTCCAGACCACTCCAATGCTGTATCATACGTGCCATAGAGACCTACCTCCCATAAATGTGTGCGCTCTGTCCCAAGACATTTTTTCCTCCAGGTGATTGTTGCCGTCATGTTGGTACAGCTTTACGTCACCGAGGTTGCCGCCCACTGCAAGCATGTCCCGTGTGATGTACTATAACAATAAAATAAAAACGTGTTTATTTATGGGAACAAAACATTAGGTTTTTAAATCAAACTAATTCAGTAGTTAGGTGAAGGATGTTTTTATAATGCAAAATTTTAATTAGGCCATATTTACCTCAAACACAAATACAGTACAGTATTGTTACTGTGAACCTCAATATCTATACTGTGTACTGTATTAAATATTTTACCAATAAAGAATGCCATTTCCTAATGTTTCCAATATTGTACAGTACTGTACATGTTACTAAATTTCACCTGACAGCTGTCATTCTGCATATTAGCATACATATGAATGAAGCAAAACGGTTAACCCTAAGCCATGTTCGATAAGTTTTTTTTACATAATTATATACACTACCTGTATGTCACTGACACTGCCTGGGTGAGGCAGCTGATGTATTTGTGTCGGGTCGTCATCCGACTCCGGGACGTGCCATACTTCGACAACATTGTCCTGTAAAAGCAACATATGACATCAATACTCTTCAATTTATCTGAATTTACAAGAGGGCCACTATCTCTTTAGTGGCCTCGATGAGGACAGGAAGCTGGTGGCTTGTCATATATCCCCCCCCCCCAATTTATCAAGGGAAAGGGAACTATCAGAAGAAAGTGCCAAGCCTTTATGGTTATAGCACTGGGAAGGAATGAGGATAAAGATTTGGGATGGGACGGGGGATGGTATAGTGCCCAACCACTTGGACGGTCGGGGATTGAATGCTGACCTGCATGAAGCGAGACCATCGCTCTACCGTCCAGCCCAAGTGGTTGGGCCCTATTTGTCAAAATCCAGCCGATTTCCAGTGTCGTGCCAGGACCCCAGGGGGCCCACCGTGTCGTGCCAGGACCCACCATGTTATGCCAGGACCCCAGGGGGACCCACCGTGTCGTGCCAGGACCCCAGGGGAACCCACCGTGTCATCCCAGGACCCACCGTGTCTTGCCAGGACCCCAGGGGGACCCACCGTGTCGTGCCAGGACCCCAGGGGAACCCACCGTGTCGTGCCAGGACCCCAGGGGAACCCACCGTGTCATCCCAGGACCCACCGTGTCGTGCCAGGACCCCAGGGGGACCCACCGTGTCGTCCCAGGACCCCAGGGGAACCCACCGTGTCATCCCAGGACCCACCGTGTCATCCCAGGACCCCAGGGGAACCCACCGTGTCATCCCAGGACCCACCGTGTCGTGCCAGGACCCCAGGGGGACCCACCGTGTCATCCCAGGACCCACCGTGTCGTGCCAGGACCCCAGGGGGACCCACCGTGTCGTGCCAGGACCCCAGGGGAACCCACCGGGTCATCCCAGGACCCACCGTGTCGTGCCAGGACCCCAGGGGAACCCACCGTGTCGTCCCAGGTGCCGCTGACGAAGGTGTCCGTCCTGCCATAGTCAGAGAGTGGCGGCTTCCACCTCACACACTTCACCTTCCTGGAGACATACTTCTTGCTCACCACCACGCCGCCCGCCATCATCCTCCTCCACACACTACTACCACCACTGGAGTCTGCTGCTACCACCACTGGAGTCTGCTGCCACCACCACTGGAGTCTGCTACCACCACCACTGAAGTCTGCTTCCACCACCACTGGAGTCTGCTGCTACCACCACTGGAGTCTGCTGCTACCACCACTGGAGTCTCCTACCACCACCACTGAAGTCTGCTTCCACCACCACTGGAGTCTGCTGCCACCACCACTGGAGTCTGCTACCACCACCACTGGAGTCTGCTACCACCACCACTGGAGATTGTTTACAAACACTGCTTGAAAATAACTTTTACTCACCGAATACAGTTTAATTATTGCTAGGTGAAGAGAAGCATCAGGTGTATGAAAGCTTTGGGAATATACGTAGATATAATACTAGGATATAATACAAATAAATTATCTATGTTCCAATTTCAATTTCAAATTTTGTTAAATTTCACACGTAACTGATGCTCCCTTATATATATACCTTATATATCATATGTGTATTATTATATGTATTATATATATATTTATACGTAATTATATATAGGGATTTAGACAGTAATGAGTGTTAGTAAGTCTATGGGTCTACATCGCCATAATTATAATATACCGTCACCCCTTACATAGCGGTCAATCTATAATAAATTATATATCTATTGCAAATATTTGGTTGATATAATTAATGTGTAAATTTCCTATTGCACCTAGAGGCATTTATTTATGTTTACTGATTAAAATAGGACTGGAACTAGGGGCATATAATGCCAGGTAAAGTCAGATAAAAATACTGCTCAAAACGCTATATACGTGTTAGTGGCTTTATAAGAATTATAAAAAAAATATTATTCTAATATAATTTCACCAAACCATTGTACCTTCTTGTAAATAAAATATTATTGTTATTATTATTATTATTATTATTATTTTGTGTTGTGAATGTCCACGTCGCAGGCGCGCGCGCGCACCCTCCTCCTCAAGGAAGAATTCTAGTCTTATTTCTAGTCTTATTTCAAGGGTAATTTCCCCGGTGGTAGCGGCCCCCCGCCCCCCACTGGTGAGTTGAGCCCCCTGGGGGCCTGCCAGGGACGCTGGCCAGGTAGGGAGCTGTCACTGTTGACAGTCTGCCAGGTAGGGAGCTGTCACTGTTGACAGTCTGCCAGGTAGGGAGATCTCACTGTTGACAGTCTCCCAGGTAGGGAGCTGTCACTGTTGACAGTCTGCCAGGTAGGGAGCTGTCACTGTTGACAGTCTGCCAGGTAGGGAGCTGTCACTGTTGACAGTCTGCCAGGTAGGGAGCTGTCACTGTTGACAGTCTGCCAGGTAGGGAGCTGTCACTGTTGACAGTCTGCCAGGTAGGGAGCTGTCACTGTTGACAGTCTGCCAGGTAGGGAGCTGTCACTGTTGACAGTCTGCCAGGTAGGGAGCTGTCACTGTTGACAGTCTGCCAGGTAGGGAGCTGTCACTGTTGACAGTCTGCCAGGTAGGGAGCTGTCACTGTTGACAGTCTGCCAGGTAGGGAGCTGTCACTGTTGACAGTCTGCCAGGTAGGGAGCTGTCACTGTTGACAGTCTGCCAGGTAGGGAGCTGTCACTGTTGACAGTCTGCCAGGTAGGGAGATCTCACTGTTGACAGTCTCCCAGGTAGGGAGCTGTCACTGTTGACAGTCTCCCAGATAGGGAGCTGTCACTGTTGACAGTCTCCCAGGTAGTGAGCTGTCACTGTTGACAGTCTCCCAGGTAGGGAGCTGTCACTGTTGACAGTCTCCCAGGTAGGGAGCTGTCACTGTTGACAGTCTCCCAGGTAGGGAGCTGTCACTGTTGACAGTCTGCCAGGTAGGGAGATCTCACTGTTGACAGTCTCCCAGGTAGGGAGCTGTCACTGTTGACAGTCTCCCAGGTAGGGAGCTGTCACTGTTGACAGTCTCCCAGATAGGGAGCTGTCACTGTTGACAGTCTCCCAGGTAGGGAGCTGTCACTGTTGACAGTCTGCCAGGTAGGGAGATCTCACTGTTGACAGTCTGCCAGGTAGGGAGATCTCACTGTTGACAGTCTCCCAGGTAGGGAGCTGTCACTGTTGACAGTCTCCCAGGTAGGGAGCTGTCACTGTTGACAGTCTCCCAGGTAGGGAGCTGTCACTGTTGACAGTCTCCCAGATAGGGAGCTGTCACTGTTGTTGACAGTCTCCCAGGTAGGGAGCTGTCAAGGATGTCTTGCCAGTCTCCTAGGTAGGAAGGCTGTCAGGAATGTGTTGCCAGGAGCTGTCAAGGATGTGTTGACTGGCTACCAAGACAGGCAGCCAATGCACTAAGTGTACGTGTTTCTTTAATGAACTAACTAATGCGATGAAGGGCCGGGCAGGTGACAGGTGTATGTACTGCCCGTTACCCTAGACCTGTCGCCTTGTGGAGTGTGCGGCATGGGGGAAGGGGTGTGAAGGGGTCACCCCCCCCCTTCCCCACCTTCCCCAGTGGGGGAGGGGGTGACTTTGCCTGGTGGGGTCGGGCCGTGGTGCTCCCAGGATGGCACGGTCTAATTTGTTACACGTTTATTGTATATGTGTACATACATTAGTACGTAACTAATAGTAACGCCGTAACTAATAGTAACGTAGAGTAACGCCAGTCCATAAAGGAGGCAATCCGGCGGACATAAACAATTATAGACCAATATCAAATCTACCCATTCTATCAAAAATATTTGAAAAAATTATTTACAAACAGCTCTATTCCTACCTCGTAAAATTCGACATACTCAGCCCCTGCCAGTTTGGCTTCCGGTCCCAAAAGAGTACCAATATATTTGGTTGATATAATTAATGTGTAAATTTCCTATTGCACCTAGAGGCATTTATTTATGTTTACTGATTAAATAGGACTGGAACTAGGGGCATATAATGCCAGGTAAAGTCAGATAAAAATACTGCTCAAAACGCTATATACGTGTTAGTGGCTTTATAAGAATTATAAAAAAAATATTATTCTAATATAATTTCACCAAACCATTGTACCTTCTTGTAAATAAAATATTATTGTTATTATTATTATTATTATTATTATTTTGTGTTGTGAATGTCCACGTCGCAGGCGCGCGCGCGCACCCTCCTCCTCAAGGAAGAATTCTCGTCTTATTTCAAGTCTTATTTCAAGGGTAATTTCCCCGGTGGTAGCGGCCCCCCGCCCCCCACTGGTGAGTTGAGCCCCCTGGGGGCCTGCCAGGGACGCTGGCCAGGTAGGGAGCTGTCACTGTTGACAGTCTGCCAGGTAGGGAGCTGTCACTGTTGACAGTCTGCCAGGTAGGGAGATCTCACTGTTGACAGTCTCCCAGGTAGGGAGCTGTCACTGTTGACAGTCTGCCAGGTAGGGAGCTGTCACTGTTGACAGTCTGCCAGGTAGGGAGCTGTCACTGTTGACAGTCTGCCAGGTAGGGAGCTGTCACTGTTGACAGTCTGCCAGGTAGGGAGCTGTCACTGTTGACAGTCTGCCAGGTAGGGAGCTGTCACTGTTGACAGTCTGCCAGGTAGGGAGCTGTCACTGTTGACAGTCTGCCAGGTAGGGAGCTGTCACTGTTGACAGTCTGCCAGGTAGGGAGCTGTCACTGTTGACAGTCTGCCAGGTAGGGAGCTGTCACTGTTGACAGTCTGCCAGGTAGGGAGCTGTCACTGTTGACAGTCTGCCAGGTAGGGAGCTGTCACTGTTGACAGTCTGCCAGGTAGGGAGCTGTCACTGTTGACAGTCTGCCAGGTAGGGAGATCTCACTGTTGACAGTCTCCCAGGTAGGGAGCTGTCACTGTTGACAGTCTCCCAGATAGGGAGCTGTCACTGTTGACAGTCTCCCAGGTAGTGAGCTGTCACTGTTGACAGTCTCCCAGGTAGGGAGCTGTCACTGTTGACAGTCTCCCAGGTAGGGAGCTGTCACTGTTGACAGTCTCCCAGGTAGGGAGCTGTCACTGTTGACAGTCTGCCAGGTAGGGAGATCTCACTGTTGACAGTCTCCCAGGTAGGGAGCTGTCACTGTTGACAGTCTCCCAGGTAGGGAGCTGTCACTGTTGACAGTCTCCCAGATAGGGAGCTGTCACTGTTGACAGTCTCCCAGGTAGGGAGCTGTCACTGTTGACAGTCTGCCAGGTAGGGAGATCTCACTGTTGACAGTCTGCCAGGTAGGGAGATCTCACTGTTGACAGTCTCCCAGGTAGGGAGCTGTCACTGTTGACAGTCTCCCAGGTAGGGAGCTGTCACTGTTGACAGTCTCCCAGGTAGGGAGCTGTCACTGTTGACAGTCTCCCAGATAGGGAGCTGTCACTGTTGTTGACAGTCTCCCAGGTAGGGAGCTGTCAAGGATGTCTTGCCAGTCTCCTAGGTAGGAAGGCTGTCAGGAATGTGTTGCCAGGAGCTGTCAAGGATGTGTTGACTGGCTACCAAGACAGGCAGCCAATGCACTAAGTGTACGTGTTTCTTTAATGAACTAACTAATGCGATGAAGGGCCGGGCAGGTGACAGGTGTATGTACTGCCCGTTACCCTAGACCTGTCGCCTTGTGGAGTGTGCGGCATGGGGGAAGGGGGTGTGAAGGGGTCACCCCCCCCCCTTCCCCACCTTCCCCAGTGGGGGAGGGGGTGACTTTGCCTGGTGGGGTCGGGCCGTGGTGCTCCCAGGATGGCACGGTCTAATTTGTTACACGTTTATTGTATATGTGTACATACATTAGTACGTAACTAATAGTAACGCCGTAACTAATAGTAACGTAGAGTAACGCCAGTCCATAAAGGAGGCAATCCGGCGGACATAAACAATTATAGACCAATATCAAATCTACCCATTCTATCAAAAATATTTGAAAAAATTATTTACAAACAGCTCTATTCCTACCTCGTAAAATTCGACATACTCAGCCCCTGCCAGTTTGGCTTCCGGTCCCAAAAGAGTACCAATGATGCAATCATTAGTCTCCTTGACATTATCTACTCAGCCCTTGACAAAAATGAGTTTCCGATTGGACTCTTCATTGACCTAAGAAAAGCCTTTGATACTGTTAATCACAACTACCTCTTATTTAAACTCCAGCATTATGGAATCCGAGGCCTTGCCCTTGACTACATCCGATCCTATCTTAGTGACAGACACCAATATGTAACCATCAATGATACAACTTCTTCCACTCTACCAATTACCGTTGGAGTGCCACAGGGCAGCATCTTAGGACCTCTTCTATTTCTTATATATATAAACGATCTGCCTAATGTCTCTAATATTCTCAAACCTATATTGTTTGCTGACGATACTACCCTTATCTACTCAAACCTCAACCCACATACACTAAATAATGTTGTGAATAATGAATTAAAAAAAGTCCACTTATGGATGTCAACGAACAAACTAACATTAAACATCGAAAAGACTTACTACATCTTATTTGGAAACAAATCATCAAATGCAATTCAGCTACAGATAGACAACATTAACATCAGTAATAAAAATGATGGCAAGTTTCTTGGCCTATTCCTAGACAAGAGACTCAACTTCAGCACCCACATTCAACACATAACTAAGAAAGTCTCTAAGACAGTTGGTATACTCTCCAAAATCAGATATTATGTTCCTAACTCTGCTCTCCTCTCACTATATTATGCACTAATCTACCCCTATCTTAATTATGGTATCTGTGCATGGGGGTCTACCACTGCAAACCACCTTAAGCCCATCATCACACAGCAAAAATCTGCTATCAGAATAATAACTAACTCTGCTTTCAGACAACACTCAGCTCCCTTGTTTAAATCTCTAAACTTGCTAAATATTAACTCCCTCCACACATTCTCTTGTGTCAACTACATTTACAAAACCCTGTTCTTAAATGCAAACCATGCTCTGAAACTCTCCCTGGACAGATGTAATAGGACCCATTATCACCACACCAGAAATAAATATCTCTTTGATATCCCCAGGGTCAAACTTAATCTGTGTAAACACTCTATGCAAATTAAGGGACCTAGTCTATGGAACTCACTCCCTAGTGAATTGAAAAACTGTAAAACTTTTGCCTTATTTAAAAGCAAAACCAAAAGTACCTAACTTCATCTATTTAGTTTCCTACACTGAGCTTTAATTTGCTCTGTACCTAGTGGTACCCAATCTCCTAATTTTTATGTAATATCAAACAACCTTATCATTGTGTTCATTGCTGTCTTCTTTTATGTGCTAGCCATATGCTGTATTGTGACTACCAATTTTTGTCAACTACCATTCAAGCTGTCATTGCAATCAATCTTATATTGTTTCTGCTGTATTGTGCCTACCAATTTGTTGTCAACTACCATTTTAAGCTGTCATTGCAATCAATCATAGCTACCCATGTGCTTTAATATACTGTACCTATAATTTTCTCTCATCTTTTTTTTTTTTTCATTCCATGTAATCTGTTATCATTTTTTTGTCTATAAATTTTGCAAGTATTTACCTCCTTAAAATTTTCTTAGATTAAGGACCTGCCCGAAACGCTGCGCGTGCTAGTGGCTTTACAAGACTGTAATTACCATAATTGTATCCTCACATTCCTTATGTACATTCTTGTATATGCATAAATAAAATAAATAAATAAAATAAAATACGTAAAACAAAACGGCAGATAACATAGGTGCGCAAGCCGAGTGTAAGCTGCATTTCTATAGCTATAACAAAAAATTTAGTAAATATTAAATGCATATTTTAAATGTTGGTACTGTATATAACTTTGCACACACACACACACACGTTGTGTGTGTGTGTGGTGCAGAAGACAAAAGGGATGGCTATACCAAAGGAAACAGAGTTAGTATAAATGGGGTTAAGTCAGAGTGGGAAAATGTTGTAAGTGGAGTGCCTCAAGGCTCTGTCCTGGGACCTCTGTTGTTTATAATATATATAAATGATTTAGATTCAGGTTTGAGTTTAATGTATATATAATACATTAATTATAAGGAATTAGTGTATATATAATTCATTGTGTCGGGGGACAGGCAGCCAGTTTATTACAGTATATGTTAGGCTTATATCGAGGTCTTCCCCAGGGTCAAATTACTGACCCTCCCCAGGATACAACCCCCTCAACAAGCTGTCGCCAGAGCAGGTGCTTCACCTGTCGCCAGAGCAGGTACTTCACCTGTCGCCAGAGCAGGTGCTTCACCTGTCGCCAGAGCAGGTGCTTCACCTGTCGCCAGAGCAGGTGCTTCACCTGTCATCAAACACTGGGATAGCAGACAAGGTCTAGTAAGACTTTTGGTAGGTACTCTGCCCCATGACTGCTTTACAAGCATGAGGCATAGAGAGATTTGATCCAAGTCCCTTCAAAGTCCAAGTCTAAATCTGTCACCTTGTAAATAAACCCTGTAGATGATTCTGTCCAATAGACACAGCTGGAGCTTATTTTAAGGAAGAAGCAAAACGAGATCACTTAGTTTTTTAAGTACCCCAGTAAAAATGAAAAAAAAAGTACTTTAAGGTATAACATTATAGTGTGAAGACGGAACAACTGTCGTTGCTACATCAATGTGATTGTTTATGATCAAAGATATCAATTGTGAGAAAGGCCATTGTTTATCTTGTTGCTTCACTTGTATTGACTTTTGACATCTGCAGATTGTATAGGTGCAACATGGGGCCTGAGCTTCGTCTTCATGTCCTGCTCTGAGATACTCGGTTTTGTCTTGAGTGAGACCTTGTGTCGTACTAGTCGTAGGGCGAAGCACGACCCAGTTATGTTCTCGCGTATCTCGGATGCTCTGCAGGCTGCTGCAGATGTGGTAAGTTTCAGTGTCTTGAGTTTGCGTGAGATATGGTCTGCTTTTATTTTTTTTTTAGCAGTTGCCTATTTGCATGATTTGTCTTATTTTATATTTTCATCCAGTACTGTAGGTTTAGCTTATGGACTTTCCACATTGTTTGTATCCTCTTTTTTTCTCTTCTTACTCTCTGTTTTGCTCCTCTTTCCTTTCTTCTCTTCTTCCATTGTTTTATCATCTCTCCCTGTCTGTTCAACCTTTTTACTGCAGCACCATCCTTCCCTTGCTTATGCATTCTATTTTCACCATATTTATATTAGGCCCATTCTCCTGTTTTGGTAGTACTGTACTTATAGGAACGATGAGGATCATAGTGTGTGTGTGTGTGTGTGTGTGTGTAAGTGTAAGTGTAAGTGTAAAATATACAGTATATATACATATCTCAACGTACAAGTGTACGTTGGTATATATATACTATGTATTCAGATTTGTCCAACTCAATAGTTCAGATTTCTATACTTTTTTAAGTGTAGAAATCTGAACTATTGAGTTGGACAAACTGGAAAACTGTTTTTTACTTGCGTTGCTTTGACAAACTAACCTAACCTAGCCTTCCGAGGCCTAATGCACGATATCTGAGGCCTAATATAATACATGTGTGTGCTATACTAGGCCTAGGAGTAATATTTTTTTTTTTTTTTTGCCTCATTTATTTTAAAAGAATTCCTTACTAGTCAGTATATGACTATCTAAAAGCTAAGTACTGTACTGTACTGTACTGTACTGTACAGTACTGTACTGTACAGTACTGTACTGTACTGTACTGTACTGTACTGTACAGTACTGTACTGTACTGTACTGTACGTGCATACGAATTCGTGACTGTTGATGACCATCACGATACGTAGCCAACCTACTTTCCTATCTAAACATGGGTTTAGATTGGTTGTTATAAATATTCAATCTTCATCATATTTATATAAATATATATTTATATTCACTGTAACAATAAAAATTATTATAAGGTATTTATAATGTTTGTTTGGATTTTTACAATGTTTCTTCTTATAATTTAATTTGAGATTTCCAATGAAAAATAAATATTACTGCACTTACAGTACATACTGTACTAACAAATCTTTTTAGGACAGATGTTGATAGATGACTATATATATTATATTTTAAGGACTATAATGAATACTTTTCTTGTACAGTACTGGAATTGAATTTGTGTACTTGATTTATAACCATAAGTATAGAATACAAAAGCAATGAGGTGCTTCCAACAGATCGCTCCACCGTGCCCTCGAGTGGAGGATCTGCGTTACCACTGGACACAGTTATCGATCGTGTGTCAGCGGTGCCAACACTATGATGGGCAGCCACCACCTATTGAAGAAACACACGTACCCAGGCATCTTTCTCAAATGCTGAAGGTACAGTTCCCTTTTAACTTCAGGTTATCAGGACTTGACTCAGATTTGTAGTTCTCTTGTGAATTATAATTAAATTGTAAGTTTTTACAAGTGTGAGAGGATGTACTTAAGTTATTGCATCTGTTCTAGCCTCTAAATATTTACATTTTTTAAGTATTAAACTTTATTTACAGTTGTGTCATATCAGATAAAGAAAGTTTAATATGACCGCAGCTACTGGTGGCAGAGGAGAGGGAGCAGCACATAGGAGGACCTTTGAGCCCATGCATGGAGTACCTAGTCCAGGAGAAAGTATTAGCGACATTGGCGTCTCATGCACGTGCGGACCGACCTCTAGGGATACGTCAGCATGTCTACATATTCTTGGTGGGGGTCCTTAACCATCTTCATCATTCTCATCTCCATCATGCACCCATACACAAGCCCCTGCAGGTATGTGACTGGCCTGGTTGCCTCTTCTCATATGATTACCACGTGGGTACATTGTCCTAATTAGCAGCACACAACACATGACTCTTGTGTACACAAAGGTTAAGCCACAGCTTCTCAGGCTGATTAGGATTAACAATTAAAATTCAAACTACATACAATACTGTACTTAATTTTCAAGAGTTTTGTTAAATAATATTTTAAAGATTTTAATATAATAGTGAATTTCTCTAAAAATATTATTGTGTCCTCTCGATTCAGCGACTTGGTTTGGTTAATTACAAACAATGTGAATTTAGACATTTGAGTGTACTGTATGTACACTATCACCTATTATTCTAGTAAACAGTTATGTTGTTAAAATTATTGTACTGTACTTAATTTACCCTGCCAAAACGTAACACAGTACAGGCTGTAGGTACAATATTTGTCTTCCTTATTGTGATTTATGGTACATGACCCAGCCGTGTCCACCAATATTTCACCAGTTTTCCACCTTGTGTGCATGTTGCTAAACTTGTAATGCCGAGGCTTTCATTGCTAATTTGTATTTATTTTTAACTTTAAAATCAGCCAATTTCTAATAAAACAAGATACCCAAAATTAGCAGCAGTAACCAAATTAAATGGCGGTAACAGGAGAAATGATCTAATAGCTGCACAAATGCTTAAATTAATTGATAAACTTAAGATAGCTAATTATGTTATTAGATTTGTAGTACTTTAGAGTACTGTTTTGCATTGCAGAGGGTAACAAGGTTACAGTTTCTCGTGGGAAGCTAAGTACTCACCTAGTTGTACTCACCTAGTTGTGCTTGCGGGGGTTGAGCTCTGGCTCTTTGGTCCCGCCTCTCAACCACCAATCAACAAGTGTACAGGTTCCTGAGCCTATTGGGCTCTATCATATCTACACTTGAAACTGTGTATGAAGTCAGCCTCCACCACATTGCTTCCTAATGCATTCCATTTGTCAACCACTCTGACACTAAAAAAGTTCTTTCTAATATCTCTGTGGCTCATTTGGGCACTCAGTTTCCACCTGTGTCCCCTAGTGCGTGTGCCCCTTGTGTTAAATAGCCTGTCTTTAAGTGAAACGTTAGAGATGTAAGGAAATTCTCATTCCCTGTATGGGTGCTCAGCAAATGGAATATATTGAAGGAAGATGTTGTTAAAGTCAATTCCATCCACAATTTAAAGAAAAATACGATGAAAATTTTATTATTGAAAAAAAGATAATTACGTAGTGTGCTTGGTATAAATGGCTAGGAGGATAAAGAACTAGATCTCATTCCCCTCCCCCCCCCCTCTTTCATGCCCATAGTCAGTGATAGTCAATTATAGAACTGTAGTCTCTGTATTAATCCGTCATTCCAGGCCATGGTGCGAACAATTTGTGAGATGAGAGCTTCTCCATATGAAGCTGAAGAAATTGAATTCTTATCGACATTGTCTGAAAAGATTCGTCAAGATAATGGTATAATACTGCTCTATATACAGGTAATAGTAGAACATTGCTTTTGGGTAACTGTCGGAGTTGTGTGTTGCATGTTTGGAAAGCAGGAAGTGGGATTAAACAATGTGCATGTAATGCGAGTTTAGATGCAGTACAAAAGTACTTCATTTGCTTATTATGTAATATAAAAATCCAATCATTCAATCACCATTAGGAAATTTTTCAAAGGATTAATACTGTACTGAAAAATGTTATCTTGATGATTTTGGGGCTTGGCGTTTCTGTGGCCCGGTCCTCGACCAGGCCTCCTTTTTGTTACACACCCCCAGGAAGCAGCCCGTAGCAGCTGTCTAACTCCCAGGTACCTATTTACTGATAGGTGAACAGGGCATCAGGGTGAAATAAACTCGGCCCATTTGTTTCCATTTCCACCGGGGATCGAACCCGGAACCTCAGGACTACGAATCCGAAGCGTTGTTTACTCAGCTGTCAGGGGCCCCTATTTTACTTTTTGTTGACTTTAACATCTTTAGCATCATACAGTTCGTGAAATAAAAGAAATGTATATATAATCGAAGGTAGTATATTGTGAAGGCATTGATAATGGTATGGAGATGATAGTAGGATGGGTGAGAACCGGTTAATATCTAAGTGTTTTTCCCACACCCTGCTCAAAATGCTGTGCATATTACTGGCTTTAGACATACTGTAGTGTGTACTAAAGTGCGCCCTGGTGAGGCCACTCCAGACTGACAACCAGAGCACAACTCCATAGTCTCCTAAGACTGATGGATGCCTACTACTACTACTACTACTACTACTACTACTACTACTACTACTACTACTACTAGTGTGTACTAGCTCTATCTAGAAATCCAACATTATGTTTGTAACTCATCTTGGATGTATGAAATGTTTGTGGTGGGATTTACCTAAAATTGTTATGTTATAATATGTTTGGCATGATATACTAAGCTCTTAATCCCATATTTGACCAATATTTGTTAATTCTTACACTGCTTCAATCACTCACTATCTACAATTTTCTTTGTGCTTTAGTTACGAACTGTCGTTTCCTCTTTCTTTTTCTTTATTTCGCACCCCATACCCATCCTGTGTGCAGTGGAGGAAAGGGTTACAGAGGCACATAATGGGTTCAGGACTTGAACCCCATAGTTCATTTAACTAAGCAAGTGACAGTCTTGTGAAGTCCCATGTTCAAGTCACTACTGCAATTTCTTGCTGTGCTCAGATCACTCTGTGATTTCCTCCTATGCTCCAAACCCCATAAGATATTTATTTATAATTATATTTGTTAGCTATTCATACACATTTTAATGGTTTACTTATAAATACCTGCCTAGTTTAATCATTGACGTGCAAATGATCTTTCGCCCTGTTGACCATAATAATAATTACTATGGAGTCGGGGGGTCACTTGTTTAACTACATCGGATTATATTTCGGCAACAAACACCAATATATAGCCATGAACATCACTTTCTCTCCTACGCTATTAGTAAACATTGGCATCCCTCAGAGCAGTGTACTTGGCCCTTTCCATTTTCTCATATAAATTAATTCCGTGACGAGTGTCTGCGGACACCTCCAAGCTAACACTGTTTACTGATGCACAACTTCTTATGTTCTTGAGCACAGACCTAAACAGTCTAAACAAAACTAAATACAGAATTGAAAAGACAGCATGTAATTTACAATTAACAAACTCATTATTATTAATGAGTGTTGTTATAAATTATTAACTCGATACAAAATCTTACTGAAGCGACCATACGAGTCATAAATACTCATACTCTGCCCAAGTAAAACAAACAAGCAACACTTAGTGGGCCAGCCAGAGGCGTAGGGTCCGTGCAGTCCAAAAAAATAAATAAATTAAATCAATTATTAATTAAATAAGATTCTCACCTTGAAGGTGCAAGGGCGCATTCTTACTTTTGAAAAATATTTTGCAAGATCAATCCTTTTATTGTGTGTGTGTTTGTAAATTGCAGCCAATAGCCCTAACTGGAGGTGTTTCAAGTGGTTATACGCCAGAAGACAGTCTCCCACCGACCCCATCCCACGTGGCCACGGGCACCAGTAGCAGTGACTCTCACTCCGTAGTGACATCACAGAAATTACAACCTAAATTTCCATTGGTGGATGCTCTGCTCAACCTCTGTCACAGTGCCGTAAGTACAGTAAAGTGCATTGTATCTCCTCTTGAGGTTATCTTGAGATGATTTCGGGGCTTTAGTGTCCCCGCGGCCCGGTCCTCGACCAGGCCTCCACCCCCAGGAAGCAGCCCGTGATAGCTGACTAACACCCAGGTACCTATTTTACTGCTAGGTAATAGGGGCATAGGGTGAAAGAAACTCTGCCCATTGTTTCTCGCCGGCACCCGGGATCGAACCCGGGACCACAGGATCACAAGTCCAGCGTGCTGGCCGCTCGGCCGACCGGTTCCTGTGTATGCTATATCTAGTGCACAATAGACTAAGTAATTTTAGTAGGGTCAAAAAAGTATTTCTTTGTCTTTTATTTATCTAATAAAATGCTCATTAGATTACTAAATATCTAAAATAATATTGTTCACCAGTAACTGAAGGTATGTTTTCCATAACTATAGTAAATGTTGCTTTTAATATAATATGTTTACCATGTAAATTAGAAGAAAATTTAATTTAATTTCTTGATTTGAAATGCAACGTCATTGTTTGTAACTACAGGTCACTCAAGATATTCTTGAAGTTTAAGCACTTTACATACAATATAAGTACATACTGTATCACAATTTCCCCACATTAACATGAAGTTTGAAAGAGTGAAACATTCCTTGCTAAGTAATAAAGATCATATTTCATCACGTTAATGTGCTATGAATTAATAATAAACATTTCCTTGGACAACTTACCAGGACAGTGAGATCTCGGCTACAGCCCATGACTGCCTTGTGGGTATAGCAAGTGTCCGAGAGGGTCAGAGCAGTTCAACTATAGCGAGACACACACTCCTTCCCCACTACCTGGCCACCCGTTTAGTCACTGCCTCTGACAGCATTCCTGCAGATACTGAATCAGCATTAATAGAGGATGTACCATTGTCAGAAAGAGTCAGGTGAGCAGGAAAATACCATATGTGACATCCCTTTGCAGTTAGATATCACCCGTGATGAAGAAGCACTGTGCAAAAATTACTCTTTTATTGTTGATGGTAATTCACTAAAGGTGAATGAAACATTATATACAGTACTTAAAAGCTTATTCCTTGTATGTTGTTTTTTCACATTTTCATTGACAGTCCTTGCACTTGTCCACCAGAGAACATATTGGACATAAATTTTAACACATGTGTATAATAATATACTTCATGGCATGAAATATTAATGGCCTTCATTTTATTGGCTTTCATGTTGACTTATATATCCTTCTCCTTGGCACACTAAATGGAGTTAGTTTCATACTCTGATGACAAAGAGGGAAATTGAGCAACTTCTGAAGTCCCTGTTTTGACTATAGGATTGAAAACAGACCAAGAGTGTTGCATCCATTAGGAATGACCCTCTGTGGTCCTGGGACCAGATTCACGAAGCAGTTACGCAAGTACTTACGAACCTGTACATCTTTTCTCAATCTTTGGTGGCTTTGTTTACAATTATTAAACCGTTAATGAACTCCGAAGCACCAGGAGTCTGTTTATAACAATAACAACAGTTGATTGGGAAGTTTTCATGCTTGTAAACTGTATAATAAATGTAACCAAACGTGTCAAAGATTGAGGAAAGATGTACACGTTCGTAAGTACTTGAGTAACTGCTTCGTGAATCTAGCCCATTTTTCAGCATTTCATCTCTGGTGTGACTTCAGATGTTGGAAAGCCAGGCACAGTCTGTAAGCCTAATGCAAAGGTTTCATGCATATTTGTATAGTCAGTGTTAATGATCTCATCTTTTTGGTGCCTCAAAAAGTTTGCATGTCAAGTAATGTAATTACAGTAATTTTCATTTGTGTGTGTTTTATTAGCCACTGTATCTAGTGATGCCTGCAGGGCTGAGCTGAGCATAGGTCCACCAGACACCTAAATATTTGTAGCCACTGACAAATGCATTAATATAGTTTGAATGTTATGATGGTGTGCATGATATTAAGTACGTCTCTTGAATGATATGAAAGTTGTCTCAAGTCTCATTGTATGTATCACTTGTTACAACGTGGGATCTGTAACATACGATCATTAAACAATGCATGTGTCCAGGTGCTACAGTACATACAACACATAATTCATAACACTGGCTCATTCATACACAGTATATAGTTGTGTAAATAATAATTTAATTGTTACCAGTTAAGCCTTATATCAAGAAAATGACTCCTGACTGACCAAATAATCTAGGACTGAAGGCGGCGAAAACAGCGACAGTGAGGATGAAGAAGATGTGGGAGAGTTTCCCGGGAAAAAAGAAGTAGTGACATTCCTGCACTGGCTCACTTTCTGTGATAAGGTACTCTCGTCTCTTGAATATTATACCCGCTAAATTTCAGTGCAGTAGAGTTTCATTATCTGTGGGCTTTTGGGCCCCATGTCCTAGATATTGGTGATGACCAGACCACACACTAGAAGGTGAAGGGACGACGACGTTTCGGTCCGTCCTGGACCGTTCTCAAGTCGACTTGAGAATGGTCCAGGATGGACCGAAATGTCGTCATCCCTTCACCTTCTAGTATGTGGTCTGGTCATCATACTTTAGTCACGTTATTGTGACTCATCGCCTGCAAATAGATATTGGTGCTCAGTCTGCTGTTTTTTATTTTACTGTTTTGATTCACTATCATATTTACTCCTGAAAATGTGAATGGAGGTGGCATCAACTATTTTTCTCTGTACATTCTATCTGTTTACCACCTACACTGCATACAACCACTTTCTTACATCTCAAATTTCCACATACAGTATTCTGCCTTCAATTGGAAAAAATTATCCCTGTCTGCCTTGACTATTGCCTTTTAATATTTTTTGACTGTGCCTTCTCTGGTCCTTCTCTATTCTAAAGTTGTTTGATTGAGCTCTCTTATCCTGTTTCTATTGCTTAGTTTTCTTATTTAAACAACCAGCCTTGTTTATTTACTTCTATACGTTCCAGTCTTCTTGTGCTTAACTAGGAGAGGATTTCCTGGCAGAGCTGCATGTTCTACAACTGGAATGACTTAGGCTGTGTATTTTGTTTTGAAACAATCCTTGTTTACATGTTTGCCAGGTTCACACATGCTGCTGATGTTATAATATTTTATGCACTTCCAGTGTTAAAGGATGCCTTTGTTCCAATCTTTTTCTGGTTCTTGTAACTGCTTTCCTCTTATTTTTGTTCAGTCCTTTGTCTCCTTTCCATTTCCCCATCTTCAACCAGTCTTCCCCCCTCTTTACTATCTTTGTATTGTCTGCAAACTTTGGCATGGAGGAACTCATTCCTTTGGTTAGGTCATTAACTTAATGTAGGAAGAGCAGAGGTTCAAGGACCAAGCCTGGTTGGACTCTGCTTACTACTTGCCTACATTCTCACATTTCCTCTATAACTAATAGTGCTGGGTATAATATATAATAATATAGTGCTGGGGAGATGGGACACCACGAGCGTAGCTCTCATCCTGTAACTACACTTAGGTAATTACACTTGGGTAATTACTAAGACTGTTTTCATGTCTTATCAGGTTGGTAGTCTGGGAAAATGCAATCTTTCCAGTCCTTTGTTATCTTAGCTTAAGCATCAGACTTGCAATATTGCAAGCCTGAAACGGCAATGTGTGCTGGTTGTCATAATATTAGCACAATAATACAATTAGCACAATGGTGCTAATTGAAAGGTGCTCCATACTTAGTGGAAGTATGTTGCAGTGTCAGTCCTTAAGAAACTAAGCCATATGAACAGGCATATAGTATAGAAACATCCCAGTTACAGCCCCGCTCCTGTGGCAGACAAGTCCACTAAGGGCTCACCATAGGCCGTGCTCCTTGCAACATTTTTCTCAATAGCGGATTCTAAAACAACAACAGTATTGAAAGTACTATTGATACTAGATATTTGATCAGATTCTCAGATATATCTTTTAAAAAGTTACCTTGAGGTGCTTCCGGGGCTTAGCGTCCCCGCGGCCTGGTCGTCGACCAGGCCTCCTGGTTGCTGGACTGATCAACCAGGCAAGTTAAGCAAATTATTTTAATGGGGGGGGGGGGCAGTTTAAAACACACTTTTCCTCACTGCGACCTGTTGCAATGTGAGGTGTAATTATTTTCTTATTATTATTTTGTTCATTAATAAATTTTCATCTGTAGTGGGTGCCTTATCTTAAATCATGAAGCTTTCTTTACTCCAAAGTTTAAAGGGCTAATTTCTATAGCATCTTCCTGGAACATCCAATCTTCCATTTTTATATTCTGTATTCAATCATTAAGCAATAATGTTTGTTTTGCAATGTCTGTCAGATTGGGTTTGTTATTAATATACAGTACATATTTGTTTCTAAATGATTATTTCATACTACACAATTACTGAAGTTCAGAAAAAACATATTGGGTAATTAAATTTTAATCTCGTCTTTCAATAAACAGTCTACCGTTAAACGTATGTGACCGTATTTCATCTTTATAGCTTGTAGGTGTAAGTGATGGTGCGTTGGGTTCAAGCATCTGTTCTACGATAAGAGAGGTGTTCTTAGATGGTGTTTTACGTGGGAATCTCACCAGTGACGACGAAGATACCATATCTCTCTACATTGCTGTCACGGCCAAGATCATTACCTCAGTTTCCTCTCCACTGCTCGTTAATAGTGAGTTCGCTTCCACTACTTGTCAACAGTCATTACTTTCCCATTTCCAGTTAATAGTAACATCTGCACCACTTAGTGTTGAAAGTTTAGTGAACAGTGAAAATTATCAGATGAGGGATATGAAACTGCACAGGTATAAAAATAATAGTGGTATGTCATTGATAATGGTGCAAGTTATGTTAGACACCAGAGGTAATACCAGTTTGCTTATGTATGAAAACTCTTCTAGCCAATGTACTTTAGACTATGAAGACAGCAGGTTGTCCCATTGCAAGGGGAAGGTGTTGACTGGTGTTGCTAGGTAGTGAAGAGACCAGCGAGAGAGTGAATCTGTCTGCACAGACGCTGGCCGTACTTAAACCATACTTGTCGCTGTAAGAATGTCCGTCTACAGCCCCGGAGATGCTTGAGGAAGTGTGGGCCTGGGAGTACAGCTGTGTGGTGTGTGGCAGTTACTACAAATACTTCCCCTTTCTGCTTGTGAATGGTATCTCCCCCACCACTTGTTAGTGATTAGTACTTTCCTGCTAATTTTATTGGTAAATTATTTGACCTTTAGTATATTTGTTGCATTTCTATTGCAAATTGATAGTAATTGTATAAGTTTTATTTGTGACTATATTGTGATAGGAAAGAGGGTTTATTGTAGGACAAAGAGGGAATGAAAGCCTTCAGGAATATTTGGCTGGTGTGTGAAAAGTATGATGACAAATTCAATGCAAAAATGTAAAGAATATCTAGTGTACATTATGAGTTGCTTAAGCTGCTGAAGATACATTTATCATCCTCATTATAGCTCAGAACATTGTAGTAGAGCTTAGCTCCAAACTCTTCTATAGTTTTAGCATGTACATAAAGTGTGACATTTTTTTGAAATTGTACAGGCATCATCTCGTGGCTGACTGAAGACTCTGAGGACATAGAAGGCAGTGAGAACAGCATGAGACAACAGGTGATGGTTCTGTGCCAGCGTCCACCTCATCACCTCCAGATACAGGCTCTAAGGCTACTTCAGGTATGTGATTGACACGGACGCTGAGGCTACTAAAGGCACGTGATTGATACAGACTCGATGGCTACTCCAAGTATGTCGTGTATGGTTTTCAGTTACATATTTAATTGATATCTTAATGTATCGCCCAACATCCAGGTGCTGATGGAGAAGCCTGGGAGCATGGCTGTACAGTCACTGGTGCTGAACTATGTAGTAACGCGGTCGTACTACGATTCCTCGGCAGCAGAACACCTTCAGAGCTCCTGGTCGGATGAAGAAGATGAGAGATACAAACACCGAGAGGGTGAGACAGAGTTGACAATTTAAAGGTGTAATTTGGTGTCAATATTCTCATGTTGTCTAGTATAAGGGAATATAAATTAGTATCAGAATGATGTCTCATAAACCACTCATTTTGAAGTGAGATTATTGAATGTTAATTTTTTACAGCATATGCAACTTGCAATTCATCCTCTATATAATTTTCATATTTCTACTGTGAAAAGAAATTACTTGCCAAACGAGAAGGGGAACATAAAATTAAATTGATTTTTGTGTGTCCTGCATGTGCATTTGTACTTGCATTTATTGCTTGCAAACACACACACACCTCTTACTGTGTGTGCGTGTTTACACAGGTGAGATGTCTCCTGGATCACAGCCCATCAGCAGAACCTTAGCCCCAGCTAACATAAATAAAATTGTCAAGAGGTGAGTCTCATCATAATGCATCTATTAGAAGTACAGTAGACTTTCGTACTGGTATTAACACATATCGAGCCCCTCTAAATGCTACTTGGCTTCATGAAGACTGGCAAGCAGCACTTGGGGTAACTACCAAATGACATGTTTTGGCTGTTTTTCCTGACTGCCATTATCAGACAGCAGCTCAATAGGGCCTCGAGCCTCAAGCCCAATCCCCATGGAGGGAGGCAACAGGAGCAACCAAGTTCCATGCTCAGAAAGCACAGTTGAACCTAATTTAACATCACCTCGGTTAATGTCGTTCGTTTGTACATCAGTAGAATAGATAAATTCAAACCTTCTTTGGCATCTGACAGGCAAACAGTCCTGCTTTCTTGTTTTTAAATGTAAAATAGAGAAAACGAAGTGGAAACTTATGGCACTTAAAACAAATTAAGTACTCTACGAGGCATAACTTAAATATTGTCAATGAACACTTCATTTATAATAAAAATTAAAATTTGTATTAGCGGAAAATAATACAGTAGCACAATACAATACATAAAAATTATATAATGCTGCACTGTATAACCATATGGCTACGTTAACAAATTATCAAGTGAATTTAGCTGTTGCTGAAGCAAATGCATCTCGCCAGCTGATCACTGACATAACAAGGTGTGGGAGATCCAAGCTTGATATTACTGGTACTAGTAAACATGTTCCTTAGACAAGACATGGACAGGTTAACAGCCTGTAACAGGTAGTACTCGTAATGAAAGGGCAAGGGACAATAGAAGACAATATTGTTAGAAACTCTTGCCAAAAGGTTTTCGTTTCACTTAATGTCGCTTCAATTGCGGTTTTAGCACAAAGCAATCTGGGCAAGATAGCTTCAGGGAGCCACAGTGTCTGGACCAGAAAGAGGTGTTTCATTACATTCAATGCTGAGTTTTAAATAAAAATGGAATATAATTTGTAGGTTGGAACTGGCATGAAAATTTGCTTAATCTTGGACTAGTGCAACTAATTTCACCCCAAAGTTGGTACAGTTCTATATATTATTTAATGTTTATGGTACTGTGGTATGTTGCTAATTTTGTTGCTTTTTTTAACAGTTTCATGACAGTCGTACCTGAGGAGTTGAGATCAACAACCAAGGATGACTTTGAGAGTTACATGGCTGATGCCCAGCGCCAGTACAGTGACATGTGTCGGGTGAGTCACATGGATATTCTTATATAATGCAATTTTTGTCATATTGTATATTAAATATATTTGAAAATTGGATAAGGGTATGCAAGATACAGAGCTTATTTCCTATTAACAGCTCTTGAGGGGAGCATCATAATTTTAGTTCCATCATTATTGTCAGCAATTTGATACTTTACTACCTTAATTGACAGTAATACTTCAGTTATCTTCTGAAGTTAATCCTTAAGCAAAATTATAATATTATAATTTAAATGTCAATTTATTTTATAATATTTATGAAGTAGAAATTCAGTCTTGAGTATCATTAGGTTTTCTACCATATTCCTTATTTATCCCAAACTTTCTTTCATCAGTCATGTTCATCATTTGGTTGGCCGAGAGAAGCTGTAACTCCAGAGTGCCCGTCCGATTCCTCGTCCACAGCATCCCGGGAGTCTCGGCCCGAAGCAGAAGGAAACACGTTCTATGAAGGACCATTCCTTAGCATGCTCATGGATTTCCTGGAACACTTACCTGATCAAGTATGAAGTTGCTTAGTTTCTTGTTCAAAATATATCATATGCATCAATCACTTTTCCATCCCTGTGGACTGGTTGGTAAAGACCATACACCTTGCAGGGTCAGCATTCAATTCCCATTTGACTAAGTAGTTGGGCACTGCTTCTTTCTCCCCCTTCTAATTCCTTGTCCTCGTATCCCTTAGAAATGCTATATAGTCATACTGACTTAGTGAGCTCACCTGATAATTATCTTACCCTATCTGGGGTCAAGTATGAAATGTTTGGTGTTTCCCCATAGAGTTGCTCGGTGCTTTGTAATATGTTTTTTGAGAAGGGGAAGAGGGGAAGGACCAAGGGAAGGGGGAGATGGGGTGAAGAGAGGGGAAGGGAGAGATGGGATGAGGAGGGGGAAAGAGGAAGAGACCCAGGTGTAGCTGGTTACCCCTTTTATATATATAAATGGAAATGTCTGTTCAAGGTTGGTCAGATGGGAAAGAAGGGAGAGGGAGGTGGGAAGGAAGAGGAACAGGGGGAGGGGCAGAAATGGTGGAAGAGGTGGGATGTGGGGAAAGGGAGAGAAGGAAGAGGGGTGGAATGATAAGATGAACCATCCCGGGCACAGCCAGATACCCCCTTTGAGTTTGATTATAAGCAGACCATATTGAGACACCAAGGAATCATCTAAGCATGTTTCAAACAAAATAACTGATGGAAATGGAATAGAGAGAAGGAACGCACATGAGAGAGTACTGTAACACGCTGTGAAGATATGGGAATGAAGGAGGGAAGTAGGTGTGAGAGGTCACCAGAGTTGTCACCACGATTCCATGTAAATACTGTAGTATAGTATTTATATTTTGTTCATTGTCAGATATCCAATACAACCAATATGTGTGTTATGTTATGGACAAATTACAGAAGATGGTAAAATATTACATAAAATTATCACCCAGTTTTTATACAAATGATGTAAATATGGATATAATGCTTCTATATGAATGTGAAGGAGTTAACTAAGATCCCATGAGACAAATTTTGGTATAGTTCTTAATTGGTTACTATGTAATTAGGTTATTGTGTACCAGTGGCTTGCTTGTATTGTGAAATTGCAATCTGATCTTTCCAGCCACTCTTTCAGTTTATTTCTGTACAATGTTCACAAACAGAATAATAACAAAGCAGTGGGCTGCAAGACACTTTCTGAGCTGTGCCAGGAACTGGTTTGTGCACTATATAAGTGTACATGTTACCTTGTAGGACTACATATACAGTACTGATGGTGTTTTTGTCAATTACGAGTTAATAAATAATTATTCAAAGCAAAAAGTACATTTTGTAAGCTAGCGAGTGAGGCTACAAACATAAAAACCATCCTTGATCAATCGAGTCCTCGCCGTCTATACCACAAGTCGGCAAACAGCACAATTCGTATTGACTAGCTCGTTGACCCCTCCACCTGGCTGTTGTGTACACTTCATGTAACTAGAAAGGAAGCAGATAGGTTTTTAAATTTTTCTTTCTTCCACATACAAGGTGACAATTTTGATGATAGCCACACAATGAGGGTTAAAGCATATTAGAAACACTTTAGTTGTTCAAAGCACGATGGGAAATATCTGGTAACTATAGTTTAATGAATTATTATATTCATATAATATTGAGAAATGGTCTCTCATAATACATTTTGTACGTAGGATTATGATATCAACTTGCAAGTGACATCGTTGATGGCAACTCTAGCACTGCTACCACACCCACACCTCCACGAGTACCTGCTGAACCCCACCATAATGGTGGCTGGGGGTGTACGCACACCCTTCACTGTCCTCTCCTCGGTAGTGTCCAAGATTCACCAGCCAATTATGGAACGTGAAGATTACCTGGATCATCTCAAGGTCACCAGATACCAGCTCTTGGGCACAATGGAGGACTTTGACTTTGAGTAAGTATAGAAACATGCTATTTCCATTTGTTTTTAAGAACATTTTGTAATTCATTAAGGTTTGAAGCTGTTCAGTCCATTCTATTGACAGATAGCCTGCACTTCTTGCTGTTGATAATTCACTCAGAATTATACACATTGACATGAGCCTTGTGCTGGACTAATCATCCTTTTAAATATTGTAACTAAGAAAGAGAAGTGATATTTGCATCTTTCAAACTATTCACTTGCATGCTGCTACTATAAATAATAAATAAATGTTTATTTAGGTAAGGTACATACATACAAGAAATTTTTACAAAGATTGGTGGACTTATAGATAGAGCTAGTACATACAATGCCTAAAGCCACTATTACGCAAAGCGTTTCGGGCATAAGACATATAACATAAGTCTTCATAAATAATACAAAATAGTTGGAAAGTTTTCAAAATATTTTTTCTACCAAAGTTTAAGACAGGATTCTATATTGTATTTGTGACTTTGATTTAGACAAGATGATATTACTGTAAGCATTTTTTTGCTTGTATGTTTCACATGCACTGTCTTGTATGTTATGGAGATTGGCTGGATCATTAAATAGTATTTAAATTTAAAATGTAAAGAAATGATTCGATGTTAGGAAATAATGCATTGTTTACAAATTATACACTAGGTACTATAGTATGGTTCAGCCGATTACTGTTTTTATGGGTTTTAAAATTGTTTTCACAGCCGAGATGAAGACAGCCATAAGTTTGAAGCACTGATTGTCATTGAAGAATTCACCAAGGAATTAGCATCAATTGCATATGCCAAATACATTACAGAAGGTAGTGGATGGTAGTGATTGTCAGGTATGGTGACTTCTCTACTCTACATTCCTGTCACAGTTGTGTGTCTGCCCCGATCATGGCTTATTACAGGCACTCGCAGCGGAAGCGACATTGGTGACGGGTAAAAGACGGCAATCCTCTTAGATTTGATATATATAATGTGCACCAAAATCTTTGTAGGTATTTTGGTTTCAACTAAGAAAAATGAATGTAAGTTAACATTTAAGCACCTGATACTTTTATAAAATGTTCAACAAGATAACTTATTGAGCTCAACACAGATCTGACATTGTTATCTTGAATACTTGCCATATAATTTTTGCTTGTTGTGAAATGGGTAATAGCTCGCTTATTTAAATGTTACTTTTATTTAATTTATTGATAACCTATGCTTCTTGTTGCTATTTTTTCTTTGTGTGTCACTCTTCAAATTTAGTTAATGTATAGATGGTCTCTTTGGTATCACATGCACAAGTCTTATAGTGAGGAAGAGAGTGCAATTGTGAATACTCTTCCTGTCCCGGTGTTGCATTTGCATGGGGAATAATGCACAGGTTGCACCCTATTTTGTAAAGGGAATGTAGTCATGTTAGTGCACAAATATACACAGCAATAGATGGGATGGAAATGGTAGAAATTTATGTATTTTTTTAAGCAGCTTCTGGGACTAGATTAAGTTTAATGACGGAATTCTGCAGTGGAGAAAGAAAGCATCACACTGGTCAGTCTTTATTTAAAAGGACTTTTTGTATATGTTGTAACTTTAGCTGCAAGTCAGAACCTCAACTGTGTTGTGAAGGCAGTTCTCCACAACCTAGATGTGCCATATTGTCATGTATTGTATTTTCTGCATCTGCTCTTTCTTGTTTGTGCGCGTACAAGGGAGCCGGTCGGCCGAGCGGACAGCACGCTGGACTTGTGATCCTGTGGTCCCGGGTTCGATCACGGGCGCCGGCAAGAAACAATGGGCAGAGTTTCTTTCACCCTATGCCCCTGTTACCTAGCAGTAAAATAGGTACCTGGGTGTTAGTCAGCTGTCACGGGCTGCTTCCTGGGGGTGGAGGCCTGGTCGAGGACCGGGCCGCGGGGACACTAAAGCCCCGAAATCATCTCAAGAAAACTCAAGATAACGTACATGAAGAGAATAGCGGTGGTTAAAAATATATATGCGGTATATTTATTTCAATTGAATACTATGCTGCAGTATTATGCTAAACACTCGTGCATCTTTGCCATTTTAAATTTTCTGGCACCTTTTTCTTGTTGAGAATGATCTCAATTTTATAGAAATTGCTGTTGTGGTAATTTAGTGATGATTAGTTTTCTGGTTATTGGTCTCACTGCTGTACTGTAACAGGGCCATAATACTTTTGTTTTGTAATGCCAATATTTATTTGGTGATGTTTGCTAGCAGTTGCAGGGAGCTGTGAGAGGTGGGGGGACATCACCTATGTTGCAGGTGAGGAGTCACAATAACTTAGCTGAAGTATGTTGACCAGACCACACACTAGAAGGTGACGGGACGACGACGTTTCGGTCCGTCCTGGACCATTCTCGAGTCGACACACAATCAACTTGAGAATGGTCCATGACGGACCGAAACGTCGTCGTCCCTTCACCTACTAGTGTGTGGTCATCACCTATGTTTTTCATCTGTACTAAATCAACATTATACCGGTATATCTGAAGGTTCTAGTCTACGCCTACACAATGTGCAATGGTTATCTTGCCCGTCTTATTTCGTGTTCATGCGGAAAGCGAATAATTATGTAGTTATTACCATATTTTAAATATCTTGTACAGCATTTGTGTTTATATTCCATAAAATTTACAGATTGACTTGTTGTGATAATAATGACTTAAATTTTATCAAGACAAGCAAGACTTTCTGGAATACAAATTGTGGTTATTTAATTTATATTTTATTTCAGGAATGTTTTCAATTATTCCCTTATTTTAACACTGCAAAAAAGTTTGTTGGATATTAAAAGTTTATGTATGTCAGATTAGTTAAGTATTCTTATATTAAAGTACAAGGTTGCAGATATTTAAGGTACTAGACCATATACTGTATGATATTATATGCAAGCTTATATTATAGGTATTAGCCATGTTGATAAAGTGCAATACTTACCGCTTTAGTACAGTTAATTATTCAATTAAAGATATTTATCAACTATCAAGTCTGTGTGTGTATGTATGTATGTATAATCACACATATACACACGGTTTATAAAATTTTGTATTTAAATACTTAAATTTATTACAGTACTTTAATTGTCGTAACTGTGCTAACAATTTTATACTGTACCAGTAATGAACAGTATGGTAGAAATAGATCGTTTTAAAATTAAATTTTAAAAATTATTACATGTTCACCTATACCCAAAATATACAATCCCGGAAAGCAATATAGTCGCAGCAGAAAGACCACGCACACCCGACTACTCTAAATATATATATGTATATTTTTTAATATGTGAACTTATAGTTTTCAGATTTATTTAGTGTTACTATTTTTTATGTTATTCAAAAAGTAAATTTTGTTTTGAATTGTTGTGTGTGTGTAACTGGAGCCTTTGAGGTAACGATGTTAAGGATTATGTGTCATTCTGCCGTCTGTGTGAACATATGATTATTATGCTTCATACAAGTACTAAATCAACTGTCAATTATACAGCAATGTAATTCTGCTCTAGACAATGTGGAAACGTGTAACTTTTGTCTGCATAAAGTAAAAATAAATTAAATTTTTCCCCGCTAACAGTCTGATGCGTAACAGCAATGCAAAAGTACTTTATGAACAGGGAAGTTTTAAGTATGTGTATTTTAGCTCTCACTTTATAATCGTTTCCATTACTGAAGATTCAACTAATAAGTTATTTGTACAAATAAGCGTGATATTGGGATAGATGCATAACACAAACATCACCCAAATGAACAAATCCACAAGGGCCGTGACGAGGGTCACGGTCACCCTCGTCACGGCCCTTGTGGATATGTTCATTTGATGCCTCGCGCTATTGTGATTTGTGTGTAATCAACCATATGCTTTGTACTGTACACACAAGGCCTATTAACTAGAGGTTATCTACTTATAACTTGCCATTTAGGCTTAGTCATGGGTTTAACTTGTTTTTTTTTGAGAGAGATCATTAACTGGCTACCGTCATGTGGTCTTTAACAGTGAATGTGGCATAATAGTATCGCTTTTTGGGGGCGATTGCATAGAGCATTTCTTTTTGAGCATTCAAAAAATTGTAGTCTTCCATACAGTTAATATTTTTATTATTATACTTGGTTCTAAAAAAAAAATGCGAGAGACAAAGGGGCACACATGTGAAGTGGCCTGGGGATATTTTAGACATTTAATGCAAATCTTAAAATACAAAGAAATGTGCTATAGAAGGAATACAACAGTAATGAATGAGCAAAGCTGCCTGCAAGTACAGATGCATTGGCAATGTGTGCATCAATATACATCATTACATTTGAGGATACACACACTAATGCATGCGTGTATTCCTCAAATACAGCACAATATGGGCTCAACAGCACAAATCTTGGTACAAATTTACCAATTACTCTAATTTTGTCCATTATACAGTATATAATATTGTAATTATATAGTATGGCAAATACAGAACCTCAGCCAAGATATTTGTAATAAAGTTATAATGTATGGGTTAAGGGAGACTTTCATTCTTGAAATGGTTAAAGCCGAGGCTTCAGTTGTCTCTCTCCCTCTAATTTGTCCGATGTTCTCCAGAAGGGAATGTGGGCATACCATCATCTAAGAACCAAATGCTGAGCTAGGTGAACAAAGGCATTAGGTAAAAGAAAACTTGCCCGACCTAGGATCCCAAATTTGATTTGAGAACGGAGCCAACTGTACTAAGAGATCCTATAATGATTATATTCATTTGAAAAATTAACTAGTGGCTTCATTTAGATTTTAAATTCTCACATGTACATGCATCAGATGTGTTCATAACAGAAAACAAGCTCATGAGTGGGTTTAAAATGGGTTAAGCAATACTGTTGCAGCATAACTCCTACAGTCATCCTAAATGCTTTTGTTTTACTGCAGAAAAGGAGTGAATTACCAAATACTAGAGGTGTGCAAGGGGCAAGACAACTTGAGTGGTCATTATTTACTTCCAAATTAGAAAAATCTATGTATCGAATGAAGGAAAAAAAAGAAAAAACTATGATAATGTTCTTGAGTGGTTAACATGATATAGAACTAATGTATAAATACAACAGGCAAGTAAAATATGTTCAAACTTTGCTCATTAATATATTGCTTAATATTCTGATATTTCACATTTATGTCCTATTTTAAAATATAGCATATACAGTATATAAATGCTGATACTGTATGCTACCTTACCTTGAGGTGCTTCCGGGGATTAGCGTCCCCGCGGCCCGGTCGTCGACCAGGCCTCCTGGTTGCCGGACTGATCAACCAGGCTGTTGGACGCGGCTGCTCGCAGCCTGACGTATGAGTCACAGCCTGGTTGATCAAGTATCCTTTGGAGGCTATACCATACTATACCATAGGTTTTGTACAACTTGAATAGTCCAACTTTGTATAATCTTCAGCATGGCCTGATTCAATACCAACCACGCACCATTGGTATATATTCATAAGCCAAATGTTATCTATACAAGATTTTTAATAAGCATATTTTTACAAGTTCCTTATAAATGACCAACATAAGAGTACATACAAGTGATAAAGCAGTACTGGATAATCCATTGTGTACACTCTTAACGTGGGACATGTTTAATTAAAGTAATGCTACAACATTAAGCAATCACCTCTGACAATGTGACAACTGATTGTAAAGAAAATCCCAAAATAAAGAATAGAAAAACTAATGTTCTTTGGTTACATAATAGGAAACTGACTTATAAACTATTTTGAAAGCTGCAAACTTGATCTAATTCGACATCACAGTAAATCCATTTCAGGCTGAAGGTGTCTGGCATAGATATTGATATCCACCACAATTTCTTATTAGCATCTGGATGTAACCTCAAACCATTGATCGTGCACAAAAGCTTAAGTGATAGAGCTCAACAGATTTACATGTACAACCTTTCTATATGTATAAAGTTAGTCGTTGATATTACAGATGATAATTACCCATTATATCAATAACCAAATTCATTCAGGATAATTCACTTCTCTCCAGCAAGTTTTATAAATAATATCCAGGAAGAGCAGTGACGAGTTCAGGTATTTAAACATGCCGTTGATGTGCCAATATAAAGTCGTAATGCACATACTGTACGAGTTGTGTAGAATTGTGAAACACTTGTCATACCTCAAACTATTTAGAGCTTTTAATTTTTGACTTCTACATATATTGTCTTCCCTATCTATCGTATACCAAATGGTTTGCAGTGGTCGACTGAGGAACTTAGGAAGCTTATCAAGTGGACATACATACTGCAACAAAATGCTTGATAAATTATCTTTGAAAGCATTATTGCCTATTATAATACATCCTAACCTTAGGGTACTTTTGACCAATTGTATTTATACAGTAATCTAGCACATGTTTAAAGAATAAAACACAGTATGATGTATTCTCCCTCAACCACTGACATGGATCATGGAATGGGTTTGAAACTATCAGTATTTATTTCAACAGCAAGATCACACATTCTGAATTATATATACATAAATTATGTGAAATAAAAAGACTTGATTCAAACCATCTTAGGCAAGTGCTGGAGATCACATTCAAGTTACGAGGACAAGCTTAGTGCCTCTTGCTCAGCGCCACACCGAGCCCCACCAGCGCTCCAAGACCAAGGAGGGCACCACCTGCTATTGCTGCTCCTTTCATAGCATCTGTAAGAAAACATTTTCCTCTTAATCTATTTTAAGTAAATGCCATCCAAATTGCACAATTTCCTTCATCACAATACTAAGTTCTCCACACACACACACACACAGGTCTCCTGTACACTAATTGTACTCGCCTAATTGTGCTTGCGGGGGTTGAGCTCTCCTTTGTCCCGTCAACCGTGGTGTACAGATTCCTGCCTATTGGCTCTATCATATCTACACAGAACTATAACACACACAGGTCTCCTGTGTGTGTGTGTGTGTGTGTGTGTGGAGAACTATAAGAACTTATAACTTATATAATTTATGTACAATTTGGTAAATTATAATTTTGTTACACCTCGGCACAGTCTTTACACTTGCTACCATTTTCATTGTTCTCTTCTGTCCATTATCAACCCATATTCAATAAATTTAATGAAAGCATCTATATCATCTGAATATCACTCCATTTGCAGGCGATGAGTCACAATAACATGGTTAAAGTATGTTGACCAGACCACACACTAGAAGGTGAAGGGACAACGACGTTTCGGTCCGTCCTGGATCATTCTCAAGTCGCTCACTCAATTTATTAATAAAATTAGGAGCCATGATGAGGATTCAAACTTATGCTCTGGGTACAGTACTCCCAAGTAAGCTTACTTGAGAGTACCCAGTACTCCATTTATTCATAATTATCATTGCCAATCACAACACACCAGTACTCTACTGGCTCGCAAACATTCATGGTATTTATACATGTGAAAACTCACCTTTCTCCATTCTTTTCTTAATGCAAGTTTCAAGCTCCAAAACTTGTCGATTTCCTGGTTCTACTTGTAGAAGCCCCTTCAAGTACTTAAGTGCTACCTGGTATTCCTGTAATCATATGTAAACATTTACTACTACAAAGACAGTTCATATCTTTATCATATATTTAAATACATCACTTAAGATTATACAGAATGTAATAACAAAAACAAAATACAATACTGTATTATGATTTTGCCAAAATGCACTACAGCACAAGATTATAACTACTAAACCAGAACTACTACAGTATAGCTATTAGTAACCAAATCAAGAGCCACTTAAAAGTTATTTTTCTAAATAAAATGAAGTCACCTAATTTTACCAGTTTGACATACAATAAACATGAAAGTCCCTTCATGTTCATTGCATTATTTCTTGGGAACAACTGAGCATTAAAATCTGATGTTATCATACAGTACAGTTGTAGAGTACATTAGAAAATAAGTTGAAAATTTTAAGAGAGATATCTTCCAAGGTATTATAGTTTAGTACTTGTCAGTTTTCCCAAGAAAGTACAGGTAAATAAATGACATGGATCTATGAACTACCTACGATCTATGAATGTGATGCTGCATTTATATACCTGTATTATATACACTACAAACTTACATGAATAGAATTTCTAAAATACTGTGCTCAATTACAAAATGGAAAACCACACACTATTAGAATATTCACGTTACTGTTACTGTGTACGTGAGGTTACTGCTTGCCTACCTTTAACCGCGCATTTCCAATAGCCAGGTAGTATATATAGTCGCGTTTGCCAATTTCATCTGGACGCTTGTAGAGTTCTTCCAGGAGCACTACTCCTCGCTGGATGTCTGCTGGGTACCTTGTGTTCCAAAAAAACCCATAATGTTAGTTTTAGTTACAAAACAATATCAAATTAAAAATTACATTTTCTGTTACAGCATCAACAGTAGCATTTTCTTGGGCACTCGCATATATGATACTGTATCTGCAATATAGTTCAGTACTAAGTTATTGTATTTGATACAGTAGGTGGAAAATTGTTTGCTGTACGTTATCCTATCGTACAGGGTAAACAAGGTTATATCTGTAATATACTTTGTTTTCATATATATAGTACCGAATAAACCCAAAACTCAAGCAGACTAAAGTATGTAAAATTCACATAGTAAATAGTATAGGAATTCCTACAGTATAGGAATGGCAGTTTTATAAGAAGTTGGTACAATGAACAACATTCCTCTCTGTACAATGCTTTAAACAAAAAAGTACAATTTGTCAAGGAGTTAATTGTGAACTTTAACATATAACCCAACCTATATTAAACATTTAATCAACATTAATTACAAAGTTTAAAAGCTTGAAGTTTATTCCCACATCTTCAGTTATCTTTATACTGTACTGTGCAAATTTTTATTTAGTATACATATGGTATATATATTAACTGTAAAAAATCTTAAATTAACAAACAACAAAGTATGAGTAAACAAAAGAAATATGTATATGTTCGTGCACTTACTTGCTGCGAACTAGGAAACAGGCGTACTCAAACTGTGTCTTGCTGGATATTACCCCTTTACACATTTCCTCATTGTAATTCTGTTCAAATATCTGAAATAGAATACAAGCATATACAACACACTATACAATGCGAAGCTACTGTATGCCGGCCAAGCAGTTAACAAGCTAATATACTAACAAACATTAAGTACTGTAATGTCCATTTCCAGCAATTTGAATACAAATTTGATCATTAGGGTAGGGAGGAAAAATAAACAGTACAGTACACACAGAAATCACAATTGCGTGATGCATCAAATGAACTTCGATATCAACTCTTTTTACCATGTCATAGCTCAGTCGATTAAGGCAGCGTCTGGGATGCTCTCGGACGCAGGTTCCAATCCTCGTCACGGCCCTTGTGGATTTGTTTACTACAGAATAATAATTCAGGAATGATACTCGTCTGATGGAGGTATGCAGGACAGACCACAGAGCGCTGTTATTTGCAGACAAGTGAATATCATGAAATGAAACCTGTGGATCTGGTCCAAAAACATCTAACATTGTAATATCACTTGTAAAGCTACTGGATGTGCAGTTCTGTACAGAGTATTACAGGAAATAAAATGTAATCAACTTACCCTAAGGTAACAAACTGACCTAAATTATATCCTTAATAACATTAAACTAAATCACTTAAAACCAACCTGAACTTACCCAGTTCTATATCTTAATCTTGAAGAAATACAAATCTTAGCCAAACATCCTAAATTTGACCACTATAAACAGTGTATCAAAGTGTACACTAAAGTACTGTATATAGTACTCCATTATTACTAGTGATATCTCACAGGAACATAAACCAGTGCAGTAGATAACCAGATGCAGTGGAAGGATTGTGATCCAGATAGTGTTCAAGGTAATGGAGTCTATCTCTATAAACCAGTTATATATTAGATATACAAAACAATGTATAAAAGCTTATGTTCTATATATGGTGTATGAGTCATGTGACATCACTGTGGTGTCATAGATGAATTCCACTGCAGTTTTTGGACGCTTCTGAATGAGACGGTATCAAACAACCCGAAACGCTATGCGTACTAGTGGCTTTAGGTAATGTATGTACTAGCTCTATCTATAAATCCAACATTATGGTTGTAAATCAACTATGTATGTACTTTCCTGAATAAAATTGACTTTACTTTACTTTACTTTACATATATCCACAATAGTGTTTAGTACTTAAGATTAAGTAAGCACTAGTGTTCATACAGGTTTCTCAAACATTTTCATTCAAAAGTGCAGCATGTTTCTCAATATGGTCCACTTCCAATATAGTGCAGAACATTATAATTAGGGCCCATCACACACCAAGACTAGACCAGCGTTGAGGTACTACGGGTCACTTCGGGACTCCTGGTTCAACTTTGACGATGAAACGAAACACTATGCGTGTTAGCGGCTTTGCACGAATTTAAAAATATTTCTCGCCAACCTATTGTACCTTCTTGCAAATAAAAATTATTATTATTATTATTATATGAGTGGATGAATGGACACTTGCTCTGCCTGGGAACAGCCAGTTCTTAGTTAGTTCCCAATTCACAATACATTATAGTTTTACCAATTCTAGAAATTAGTACGAGACAGCTATGTACAATACGACCCCTAACCCCCCCCCCCCTCAGGGCAACACATAAAATATATAGCACTGTATAAATTTGTTTTGTTGGGGACAGGATGCCTATACATATAGATACTTTAGATTTGGATCGCGGTCCACTCTAAGGTCGAACTACTGACCCTCCCCAGGAATGCAACCTTACACCACTTACCTTAACTCCAGGATACCAATTTACTGCTAGGTGAACAGAGGCATTAGGTGAGAGGAAATATGCCCAACCATTTCTGTCCCGCCCGGTAAACGAATCGAGAATCCCTGATTGAGAACGAAGCCAACTGTATTACGAGTTCAACGAGCAGCTATAAGTCGAGTCAAGGCAAAAAGTGGCTTATGTGACCATCAAGGATCCCAGGGACATTACCCTGCTGGGACAGAAATGGTTGGGCACATGTCCTCTCACCTAATGCCTCTGTTCACCTAATTGTAAATAGGTACCCTGGTTAGGCATCTATTATGGGGTTGTATTGTATGATAAGTCAGTAGTTTAACCTTGTAGGGCCCCTCGATACAAGTCTCAAGCATGATTATATATATATATACATATACAGGCCTCCTGTCCCCATCAGGACAATAATATCTCATGGTTTTCCCGACACTAAAATGATGTAATCCCCCCATGAATCATAGGCCTGGGAGGGGTATAGCTGGTATAGCTGCCAGCAGGTGTGAAGGTCACCACGTGCCCTGAGGGTGCCCTGGGGGTGCCAGGTGCCCCGGGTACTGACCTTAAGGTCCTCAGGGGAGCAGAACTCAGAGAGAGGGTCAGCCATGATCCAGCGTCCAGGGCGGCGGCCTCCACAACACTGCTGGTCGCTTATCATAGTAAGTTTTTGTCGTCGAAATTTTTAGTCCTGTACATGTAGCGTCATTTGTAAATTATAATATATATATTATAGCTTTATTTGGTAATAATTACAAGCTAATATATATATGCGTAAAGCTACTGCGTATATATAATTGTTGGTTATTGTTTACGTGGGGCTTTATAAACATTTATAAGAAAACACACTATAATGAGTTTTGTATAAATTTTGGTGTTTAAATACACGTATTTATTGATTTACTTGTTTATTTTTATATTTATTTATTTATATACAAGAAGGTACATTGGGCTGAGAAAGTATATATAACATTGGTGTTTGAGTGGTACATTCTTGTAAAGCCAATAACAGGCGTACTAGCGTTTCTGGCAGTTCATATATTATTAATTAGTACAATGTATAGCTACCACTATATAAGACAAAGGTTCAGTACAGGTTCACACGGGAGACATCTCCCGTCACGTAGGGTGCAGTCGCACCTCCACAGATCTCCAGTATCATCTATTGATACTGGTAATGGCTCAAAAGGGCCACCACTTACGGGCTATTCATGCCCGTGCCACCTTTTGGGTGGCTTAATCTTCATCAATCAATCAATCTACAGGTACAGTACATTTTTGCGACGTCAATTCAAAAATATATTTTGCGCGTGAAAGAGTCTCACCTAGTTGTACTTGTCGGTGAAGGGCTACGCCTCAGAATTAGGGTTCCACCTCTCAACCCCTATTTACCTGATTTACCTGAGGGCTACTAGCCCTAGCGGTCCCCTCCCCTCCCCCATTTGTCTTCATGATCAATTCCAGGTAGACTTTTAAAATTTAACACACTTTTGGCATTTGCGGCTTCGACGGGTAGGCTGTTCCATAGGTTTATAACCCGAATTGACTGGTTACAGAATATATAGAACCTATTGGACTCTGTCATAACTATATTTAAGGTGTTTTCCTTTTTATATATATATATATATATATATATATATATATATATATATATATATATATATATATATATATATATATATTTTGGTAGCAGTCTTTCCTGTACACATATATTATTAAATATGACCGAAAAAGTAAGATTAATAATTCTAACACGAATTTTCTCGATCTTTCGTACATTCCTTTTCACTGTTGGTGGTAATTCAAAAATTAATTCTCCAAAATTCATTTTTATTTCTAGTCTGACGCGACACTTGAACGCGTTTCGTAAAACTTATTACATTTTCAAAGACTTTAGTTTACACATACACAACTGAATAGAACTTACACATCTCCGATTTGTTTATATCTACATTTGAGTGAGGTGGATGGGGTGAGGTGGTGTTTTAGGTGGATGGGGTGAGGTGGTGAGGTGGTGGGGTATTAAATTCATCAACACAAGACAGAACACGAAACAATGGGTATTGAATGGAAGTGATTGTAGAAAGCCTATTGGTCCATATTTCTTGATGCTTCTATATTGGAGCGGAGTCTTGAGGTGGGTAGAATATAGTTGTGCATTAATTGGCTGTTGATTGCTGGGAACCAGCAATCAACAGCAATACCTAGAAATATACCTAGAAATAATCCTCAAATTATGTTATAATATACCTGTTGATAATCCTAAAATTTTACTATAAGGTCCCTACTAATCTTCGTCAAATTTTCTTACAATGTACCTGTTAACTTTTTCAATTTTGCAAGAAATTACCTACTTCAAATTATCTGTTAGATTAAGGACCTGCCTGGAACGCTATGCGTGTTAGTGGCTTTACAAGAATGTAAAAACATCAATGCTATGTACTCTTATAAAACCAATGTACCTTCTTGTATATATATATAAACAAATAATAAATATATAAATATTACAAGGCACTGCAAACGTATAACTCTACGTAAAACAAATCCCAGATTTCAGAGTTCAAACAAGTCGTAATGTTGTTATAGCTGCCTATATTTCTTAAATAGTGGCACTAGGGCCGACCCCGACTGGCCATTGGCCCTCACATATTCCCTCCTATGTAGCATCTTGAAAAGGTGGGTTATGTTCACATGTTGTTTAAGATTCGCTACCTGGAACAAAAAGTTCCAAATAGCACGGGCTATGGTGAGCCCGAGATGCTTTCGGTGGTCAATATATGGGATTCATAACAGACTCTGACTCCACTATTGATAACCATCATATCTATGCTTCAGACACAGGAGTCAATATTAAAGTTAAATTCAGCCAAATAAAAAAATATAATAAACATGGTAGTTTCTCACTATATCAAATCAAATCAAATATTTTGTATATATATATTTTGTATATATTTTGTATATGGAAGAGAGAGAGAGAAGAAACAGAGATAATCAGTTAAGTTACCGACTATAATATATAGTATTCGCAGGGATTTATAATGTATAAAATGATATATAATATCAGATGATGTAGCCTAATATTTTTACATAACTTACATTAAATATAAAGGCTTTATTGCTCACCTTGTAAATATAAATTCCATACTGATGTATTAATGATCATGTAGAAAACGGAATATTACAGAAATCATACGGTGACAAAGATTGTATGTTCTGAGGCTTGTATGATTGTATGATGATATGGTGTTTGTTTTGTGTGAAGAATTGTGCTTGGGGCGGTGAAGGGTTGGTGGGTGATGGGGGAAGGGAGGGAAGAAGAGGTGGGTAAGGGGTAAGGGGTGGGGGAGAACTGTGAGTGCAGGAAGAATCAATACAGGGATATGTATGGAGGCAGGCATCATGCGTGTGGTGGCTGCTGCCCCTCTCTCTCTCTCTCTCTCTCTCTCTCTCTCTCTCTCTCTCTCTCTCTCTCTCTCTCTCTCTCTCTCTCTCTCTCTCTCTCTCTCTCTCTCTCTCTCTCTCTCTCTCTCTCACTCTCTCACTCTCACCCCGTCACTGATCTCTCATCTCTCCTCTCCGTCTCTCTCTCACCCCGTCTTTTCCCCCTCACAGTGACGTGCGACACACACACACACACACACACACACACACACACACACACACACACACACACACACACACACACACACACACACACACACACACACACACACACACACACACACACATATAGGGGCCTGGTAGCCTGGTGGATAGCGCGCAGGACTCGTAATTCTGTGGCGCGGGTTCGATTCCCGCACCAGGCAGAAACAAATGGGCAAAGTTTCTTTCACCCTGAATGCCACTGTTACCTAGCAGTAAATAGGTACCTGGGAGTTAGTCAGCTGTCACGGGCTGCTCCTGGTGTGTGTGTGTGTGTGTGGTGTGGGAAAAAAAAGTAGTTAGTAAACAGTTGATTGACAGTTGAGAGGCGGGCCGAAAGAGCAAAGCTCAACCCCCGCAAACACAACTAGGTGAACACTTAGCTATTGTGTGTGTCATATTGTAGATATGATAGAGCCCAGTAGGCTCAGGAACCTGTACACCAGTTGATTGACAGTTGAGAGGCGGGAAGAGTGAGTATAGTTGGCCCAGGCCCTAGGCCTAGGGGCCAGGCGGACCTCGATAAACCTCAGTACGGGCTTCCTGTCCCCGATGATTGGGGAGCCCCAGGAGTCCCTCAGGGTAACAAGCACCGGCCCCGCCCCACACAGAGAACACTGGGAAGCTAAACCCAAAACTCGACCCCCAACCAGAACACAAATGTCATCCAGTGTCATCCGACAGAGCAGAAGCCGGCCGCCGGCCGCCCACCACGGCTGAGGGCACACCAGGAGCCCACCACGGCTGAGGGCACACCAGGAGCCCACCACGGCTGAGGGCACACCAGGAGCCCACCACGGCTGAGGGCACACCAGGAGCCCACCACGGCTGAGGGCACACCAGGAGCCCACCACGGCTGAGGGCACACCAGGAGCCCACCACGGCTGAGGGCACACCAGGAGCCCACCAAGACCCACCAACTCCCGGCACCTCTGGACCAAGCCGGCGCCGGACACCGTCACCCCGCCGGAAGAACCAGCCAGAAAACGTTCAAAATCCACCAACTATCCCGTGACTCGCGGCACTATGTGCGCCAGGCGTCGTAACAATCCGGACCGTGGAATAGGAATGCCAATCGACATTATCAAAACCCAAAATCGCGAGAAAAAACGTGATCCGGCGGCCCCCAGGCGGAGCCCAGACGTCCGCTCGTCGTCAAGGTTGAACCGGAGTCTCGGATGTCGGTGTTGTTGTTATGAAAGGCAGCGACGAGACGCCACAGTTCGTGTAAAAAGAGATCTAGCTAACTAAAACACAGTTCAAGTAACGGGGGATCTGACTCGTCATGAGCACAGCTCGTGTAATAAGGATTTCAGAGATCTAACTGGTCATAAACACAGGTCACATAACAGAGGTCTAACTAGTTATAAACACAGTTCATATAACAATCTAACTGGTCATAAATACAGGTCATGTAATAGAGATCTAGCTGGTCATAAACACAGGTCATATAACAATCTAACTGGTCATAAACACAGCTCATATAACAATCTAACTGGTCATATAACAGAGGTCTAACTGGTCATAAACACAGCTCATATAACAGAGATCTAACTGGTCATAAACACAGGTCATATAACAGATATCTAACTGGTCATAAACACAGGTCATATAACAGAGATCTAACTCCTCTTAAACACGGCTCAGCAGCTGTAAGAGGCAGCTGTGAGAGACAGCAGTGAGGGGCAGCAGTAAGAGGCAGCAGCCTGCCTCTCACTACCAAAAGTGCCACCATTGGAGTGCCTCATTAAGTTCAAATCGTCAATGACGGAACGATTTTACCTTATTAGTGCACACGAGGAAATAATTATAAGTTATTTGAGGACGCAGATGTTGTTCCTGTCTATGTGGCGGCTTGTATAATGTGGCTTAATTTGTTTGTCAAAAAATATATACATATATATATATAATGTGTGTGTACAGTATATAATTTTCATGCCATCCGCCCTCCCTCTGATCCCTAGGATCTCCCGCTGTTGTCCAGAGTGGGGAAGTGTGTCACTCTTAAGCGCCCCACCCTATACCCTCCCCTGCATATTCTCTCTCTCTCTCTCTCTCTCTCTCTCTCTCTC